ACTTGCGTCGCTGGAACGGGACATTATTACGTTAAAATAACATTCAGAAGGCTAACGTTATACCAATATTACTTTGACAACGTTTTTATGCAAAACCTTGTTGCGATGTCATTATAATGTTAAGTAATGTGATGTTATTAGCGTATGTTGACGGAATCATACATAACTACGTTAGTTCAACTTTTAAAAGCTTAACATTACAACAACGACATTTTGGTACTGTTAAGTTGCACAGTTACAGTAACGTTCTTGTGATATTAAAAATGTGCCTTTGGGCATTGCGCAACGAAAAAATAGCTGGTCGGTGACTCATCACTCGGTTTAGCTTCATTTGCAGTTTAACATGTTTGTTGAATGCTGGTTTTCTGTGAATTGAGTGATGTGATTCAAAATAAGTGGAGGATAGTTTGAATTAAGTGCTTAAAAATTGTGGAGTTTTTTGGGTTAGACATTGGCGATTGTGGTTTTTTTCATCAAGGATGAACGACAACGACTTCAACAAATAAGCTGCATAAGCAATCCATTTACGGCGATTTTTACGTGTTGGATTTCTCTTTGTATTTTCCACCTTGTACGCTCATCTTTTTATTTTAAATCAAACAGTGCTACTAGGGTTCCTCGGAGGCGTTAGCAGTATGTAAAAGTAAGTAAAAGACGTAAATTATTTTATGGATGTATAATCTTACTTTTTTAGAATCTTCCATAATGTCTTTTTCACCAAAACATGACGCGTTCGTCTTAAAGGAACATTATCGAAGTGCAAGTGTACAGGATGGAACATGGACGTATTCCATTCAGTCCTGTCGCCAGCAATTCTATCAAGAATTTCCTGATATCCAACGTTCTCCTACAAGGTATTTTCCATTTACAAATACTCCATGATGCCGAACAACAGTTTTACGATGATCGATTAATTAGCAGAGGACTGTGGTCACCACGTTCTCCAGAACTAAGCCCGTTAGATTTTTTTTCTGATTTTGAAATACAATATTTTTCGAAATCGTCTGCACATCACTGAGGAACTTCAAAATGCAATCGAAGAGGAACTAATGAACATTACACCAGTAATGTTAGAATGAGTTTTCGATGATATGAAACTATGTGTGTAACTGTGCATTCTTTATAATGGTGGGACATTTTTAACAATTTTGTGAAGTGATTGATGTGAATGAAATAATTTTTTATACATTAAATTTCTGGTAAAAAATTATTTGAATTATTTTGAATTTGAATTTTTTTACATTGTGCACTTTAGTATCAAAGTGCAAAAATGTTTATTAAAGTACACAATCTGTGACAATACTAAATTGCGTTTATGTCATCCTTGTACATTGACGGCCGGTATTATAAAGCCAGACTTAACTTTGTTTGTCAGCTGACGGTGTTGTTAAGACATTCCTTAACAACACTGTTAGCTTACAACATAGTAAATATGACTTTAATAATACCGACCGTCAATGTATAAGGATGATATAAACGTAATTTAATATTGTTTAATAAACATTTTTGTACCACGTTTATACAACATAAGAGAGTTACATCGCATTGGCGTTTGTTTCAAACGTTCAATTAACGTTAAATGCTGATGTTATAAAGTGTTATATGATGTAACGTTTGCTAAACGTAGGTATTTAGACGTTACAGAGAAACTTTCTTGAAGGCGGACATTAGCAGTCGCGGTGACGTTAATAGTAAGTTAATGGTACTTATACGCTAACGTTACAAGTCACCATTAAACGTTTATTAAACGCTAATGTTGCACAATTTTGTCATGTGGGATAGCTCTTAAGTCACAGGGACTATATTGAAACTGTGAGTTGTTCATAATGTGTCCCATGCAAAAAAAAAAAACAGACAAACATCGTCCCAACATAGATCCTTGAGCAACGCTTCTTCTTAACATATCGTATACGTTCTCTACATTTTATCCTCAAATTTGAACTGACATTTCTGTGTTTCATAATAATAGGATCAATTGCTTCTTTGTAGTTGTTTATCATTCTCACCAAATTTAAAATACCAGATGCCAGCATTGCTGTAAAACTGTATTTGCTTTATTTGAATATTTTCGTGGGCAACCTTCTCTTGTTCACACAACGAATATTGCTCAATTAGCACATCACTTCTCACATAGTAGCGCGATCTGTAATTAAAATATCTTGCGAATGTTCCCGTTTACTCTGTAATTACTGAAATCTACAGTGCGTTAAGTGTTGCAGCTTTAATTAAAATTGAAATTATTTATTGTGACAAGGTAAAATAAAACAAGGCGTCTAGGAAACTTTCGGGCAATCTTCTTCGCTCCGTTGTTGAGTAATTTCGACATGCAGAAATGCAGCTTGAAGTATCTCGCGCGAGCTCGATTTCTGTTTAGAATTAATTACACCTTGTAGAGTAAAGTGGCTATTACCAAAATTAAATAGCACGTCTTTTGAGTTTGAACACTGTCATCCCATCTTATTTTTTAGTAGACAGAGTGGATGAGTGTAGTCTTTGAGCACATTGTGCTCCACTTGTGCTAGCACAAAAGTTAGCCGATAAAAAATCCTTTAGTGGTATAACGGAAACTTACAGAAGCATAATTTCCGTAAGCCCCACTACAATATTCTGCGCCAAAAGTTGTAAAAACCAATACTGCCATCGGGTTTAGCAAAAAAAGTAAGCAACATATTTCTAATATTCATCGTTATTTTTAACGAGAAAGAGATAATAGTGGTCCACTTTTACCAGTCCCAGCAGTGGTTACTTTAACATAAGAATTCGTATACGTACCTAACCAGTTTCATTTTAACAGAGAGTAGTAAATATTAGCCTGGGAGAATTGACTTCTATTTCACAAATTACTAAATCGGGCAAACCTCTAGAAAGTCCTAAAAAAGCAAGGCAATGTAAGAAACCCGTTAGCGATGTTGACTGTTTCACACAAGCAGCGATTCGGAATTCCATGTACGACATGATCCAACACAGTAAGTGAAAATACACGTTCAATTGTTGAATGTAGGCAATTGTTTAGGTCAACTCTGCCAAGATTATATTATATTAAATTAGTATTTGTAAGCAGTTTACGTTTGTATTTTAGAATTCTTACGCTTCAATAACTTTTGCAAGTTCTAAAAGAGAAAGACGTATTTAATGGGCCCAACAGTTCCGTAAAAAATGCAATCTGAGAGTCATGCAAGACGACAGTGCAAACCGTAAGGAAAATTAAACCTGAGGGGCGCAGGTAACATACTAGTATTGATAGGAACAATATCATCTTATAACAATTACAATCGGTACTACGGTTACCCCCTTACAATTTCGTTTTCAATACCATTCAAGCAACAAAATTATTTTAGATTGGTGGCACAGAGAAGTGAAGTTTGACCGAGAAGATGTAGCTCCACTAATAATTAATTTGGAAAATGATTCAGATTAATGTTTTCCGGTTTATTCGGGGATGAACCTAAGATTTAAATTAAATCTCGAGATTCGTGACCTGTTTTTTTAATTTTACACGATTTGAAATGTTTTGTGGATTTTCTTTTGTTGTGTTGATTGCATGATGCTATGTAAACATACTTAGTGATGACGTCATAATACACCAATGACGTGGACGCAAACTAAGGAAAATCCTTCTGTATACACGTTGCACTTTTTTTTAAAACGATGTGCAATTATTGCCTACATGCACCGTGTGCGGCAACGTTGCTGCCGTAAACACGATTATTATTATTACATTATTATTGTGGAAAACGACACGTTTAGGACCGGATATGATCTTATTTGAGAGATATTTTCCGTGGAAACAAACGTATACGAGGTGTGGCAATTAAGTTCCGAGAATTTGTCCAAAAAAACAAGTAGGTAAATTAAGTTTCAGGCATTATTTTATGATCGACATGCATAATAGTCGCCTTCTAATTCTACACGATTCCAACGTTCTTCTCCGCAATTAACCCGTTCAGCACCATGGTTACAACTTCTTTGACCTTCTGTACGCCGCCGTGGTGAATTCCCTTGAGGTGCGACTTCATCTTGGGGAATAAAAAAAAGTCGCTGGGGGCAATACGGGGCCATAGTGGGGGTGCGCCAACGTTGGAATACCTTTTTCCCCCAGATCCATCGGTTCTCGGGAGCTCCATCACGTGGAACGTCTTCTACCGATCCACGTTCCTCCTTGAACCGCTTCGCCCATTCAAACACGCGTGATTTCGACATGCGCTGCAATTTTCCGAAGATTTCCGGGGGGTTTTCACCAGATTTCACTAAAAATTGAATCACAGCACGTTGCTTGTAAATAAATCGTTCATTTTCACGAGACCACTAAAAAACGTTACTTTACTACTTCACGCAAACCAAACGTGGTATCTACTTCGTTTGGACTCAAACGTAAAATGAAGGTTCCTTTTCTAAACAGATGAAGACGAATGGCACAGTGTTGCCGATTTTTAAGTTCTAACTAAATTCCCGAAACATAATCTCCACACCTCGTACAATGTTATTTATGATATAGCTACTATATATGTATACTACAGCTAACTCTTCCGTAAGTTGGTCCGCCATTTTGCACCCTACTGACAATTAACGCTTGCAAAACGTTGCATGTCCTGCATCCATTGTCTATCATCTAAAGAAAAGCTATTGATTTTTTTAACGTTTATTAATGCCCAAAGGCATTTTACACATTAAACTATGTTTCTGTCCACAAATTTGGATTATCAGTGGGCTCCAAAATGGCAGACGAGTCTGCTATCTTAATCAAGCACTGTAATTTATGAGATAGACTCAACCAACATACGAAAATGCAAATTGATATTAACTTTTTGAACAAAGGACCATTCGATTCATTTTCATATGTCATGCTTCAGTTAAAACGGTTCATTATACGCAAAAGTCACAGATCTTCCCTTACCGTTACCGACAACTGCCTTGACGATGAGTCGATTTTTTGCTCAGTCCACTATCTACTTAAAAAAAAATTAAAGGCGCTACAGTTTCTACAATTAAAAACAACTTAGTTCCGGAAGTTCTGCGTACCATTTTATTGTGTTGTATTCATATAAGAACAATCGAATATTTTCAAACTTTTGGTTCTGTACCAGAGAACCTGATATCAATTCCAGTCTCGCAGAGAGCGGTATCGTTGATACTGGGATTGTACGTTAGGATTTCAAAATCATTGTAAGTTAATGATCTGCCCTCGCTTGTCGTGAACAGCCCCAAGCATTCGTCCTTGGTGACAACAACTTTCCCAACAGCGTTTTCGGACCGCAGCAAAACTCGACCAATATACGTTGTGTACTCCTCGAAACCGCCAGGCACCAACGTTTTCCGGTTCATTAACGACAACACCTTGTTGTGAGACGTTTTAATCCACTCGAACTTTTGCGGCTGATTAGTGCAAAAAATCTGAAACACATTGTTCTATAAGAATCTCTTTAAAGATAATCCTCTATACTTTGCCATTTTTATTTTTCGAATGCTCCCTGAAAAACCAGTTAAAGTATACATAATCGCTGTCGGTGAATATTTTCCCATTGATCAACTTTTCGTCAAACAAAACTTGACCGATGTATAGCGGATTTCCCGATTTGTCTACGCCCGCCTTAAATGCATCGGATGGTATGATCCCGACGAAATCGCGCCAACAGTAATCTGAAATTTTGGAATTTAATAAAACATTCGGGCGCCTTTCTTTACCATCCACGAAGTGTTTAGAGTGCCCACTTGCACAAAGCACCAATAAAAGTACTGAAACTGCAACTGGCCGCATGTTATAGTAATGATGTTCTCTTTAAGATGGGACAGAACTTAATGTCTCATTAAATGTAATCGGTTCGAGAGATAGGTAATTACCTCTTAATTTGGTAAGTGTTCCAAAGAGGTTACTGCTATTATCGGGTATTTTGTATCTCAATTTTCTAAATTATATAATTGTACTTACCATGACATTGGTGGTGGTTTCTGTATACCCGCAACTTTGGACAATCGTGGGGTCAACGTGTTATTTATTTAAACAATAGTCAAGAATAGGACTTACAGAACAATTGATAAAGTTTAGCATTAATTCAGGATTTGTATGTCACATTTCGTGCTAAACTGTCAGTTTGAAAGTGCCATTGTTTTGCCTATTTTTGGAGATTCGACATAGTTTTTCATTATCTATCGAAAAAAATATTATCAAGATGGTTTCACTTTCGGTTTCACCGTTTTTTGAAAAATTACTCACAGTTCTGTAAATAATAACTGTTTCCACATAATTTTAGTAACATAAGGACGATTAGGTTTTTTTTCTTTAATTGCATATACGGCTGGACTACCAGTTCCCAAATTAGCGGCAAGGACTTTTGCGCTCTCTTTCAAAATAACCCGAGATAGCCTCGCTTGCTTCTTCGTTCTTTCTATTTAAACAAAACCCACTTCCTCTAGCAAATGTAACATCGTTATTAAACCGAGAACACTCGAAACTCCTCTCCTTCGCGTCGCCAGAACTGATAAGACACCTGCATCGCTTATCTCACACGTTACATTGTTTATTGAAAAACCAATTAATTCTTGTCCGATAACAATGTTTTACCAACACCTGACCAGATAGAGATTTAAACTCGCGTAACCCGTTTTAAATTTCTCACACAGACTAAATACAACAAATAGACTTAAATGAATTAAATAACTACTCTCAGCATTTACAATAAAAAATCTAACTTTAAAGTGACAATTCAACAGTCTTTTTTTCAATTCTGTGCCTATTTGAATAAAAAATTCTCCAGATCTTATGGAATAACTTGAATTATGTGACATACATGTTGTTCTGACCGCTATTTTCGATGTTCGGACCGAAATTACGTATTTGTACACTAAAAGGTGGCTCGCTCTCGTGTTCTGCAGTGTTTCCACCTAAAGAAACGAGACCCCCATGTAGTTTACACAAGAATCATTTTGGTTTGATGCGAATTATACTCGGTTAAATATTTAGATGCATTCGCTTAGAATGTATCACCACATTGTTTACTAAAATAAGTTAAATTATCTGGCCAGCAGGGATATAGATATAGATGGTAGACTTTCTACTCCTGAATCTCACCCTTAGCACTGTATTTTTCGTGGCTTTTCTAACATTTGAAGACATTGACAGACGCGATTTATACACTAAATAAGTATATAATTAACCTTCACAAAAAGACAAAGACAAAGGGCGTGGACACATATTTTTATGTTAGGATTGGCATATACAGGGAAGAGAATTTGACGAAGGTCAATCAAAACATTTCTTTTTTCGATAACGGACCTAAAAACATATGTGAAAGTGCAAGAGATCTTCGCCTGTGCCTAAATTCCAAATTTAACCTTCAGAGGGATTTAATTTCTTTGAAAAAAATTCGAATAAGTTGAAAAGGTTATACCTAACCGCGAAATCCTTACAGTTAAGAGTACAATGTGACATAAAACAATAAGTACTATTTATACCTTTCAATTCTTCAATAAATATAGGGTGTTTCATTTAAAAAAAGTGAGTGCGGTTCCAAAGGTAAATTTACGGCAAATCTCAAGATTTCGGTACTTATACAACGTCAGAACTGGCGAGGATGCAAAAGGCAAGAACTTCTAGATTTACGGTTTCGCAAAAATTAGTTCGATAAGTTAACTTACTTCCGGTAAGCAAAATGGCAAAAGATTATATTTCATAGTGCGTTTTCTATTTATCTAAACGTCAATTTCGTCTTAAAAATACGGGACGGTGTCAAAATTCGAGTTAATTAAGAGCGCCTCTTTTTAAGATAAAGCTCAGCTCTCTCGGGCGGGTTTTCTGCAATTCATTTGAATGTTAATTCAGTTAACGCCTTTTTAATTGAAATTTAAGTGCCAGATCAAGGATTCAAGATAACACTCTGCGTATCTGTACTGTACGTCAAAACAGCTTTTCTATTCCGGTTTTATTTAACACACGGAATCGAAAATCGGTTAATTGCCCAATGAAGCTGAAATCTTAGAATACTAAATCGGCGACACGGGAACGCTTTGCAAACGGATGAATTGAATAAAATAAAACTAAATATGTTCGGAGCGATGGTTGTCGTAACAAAGTGCCTCCACGTTGAGTTAAGGAGTTTTGTTACTAGGCGAAATTTAATTAACGCACGGGTTCCGGTGCTGTAACGAATACGCAGGTGTTTATAAGAAATGCGTGTTTCGGTTGAACAAGTGGGGACGTTTGACGCGTTCCGTCGTGATTGGCGATATGAAATTTCACAAATCAGGCGGTGGTGGCGGTTGGTCATGGTGGAAGTGGTGTTTCCTTAAATACTGGAGACAAGAAAAACGAGGCTGCTGGTTTCGTGACGGTTGGCGAGTCTGTCTATTTTTTTACGTGAATTCTTTTACGGGCAGTCATGTCACGAACTTTGCCGGAAAGTCCGCGCGAATCGGCGCATTTAAAATGGAAGGTATAATTAGTACAAATAACTTTTAATTGGAAAAAAAGTAATATCACGTTAATTAAAATGTAGATAATTAACCAACGGAAGTCCAGAGATTCTAAGGGTTAGCTGCGGTTCGCTTCAGTAGCGAGTTCTCAAGCGGTAATGAAAGTGCAAGATACTTACCGGTATCTACGGGAAAGCGAAATGCAGGAAAAAAACGGGATACCAACCCCCTTATAAATAACGGAAGAAAAGGAGCAATCTTTCAATTGAAAGGTTCGGTAATCAAATTTAGGTAATAGTATTTTACATTATTAGTCAGGTAAGTGAGTTTTTACTGGCGATAGGAGAAGTTGACTAGCGAGCCGTTAGGCGAGCTTGTCATCTCCTAGAGCCAGTAAAAACTATTACCTGGCGTATAATGTACAATATTTTATTTGTTACTCATTTGTAAACGGAAATAATTAGTTCTTAAATTGATCTCAAAGAAATGTCTAAAATATCATGTGATCCATGTAACAGAGACTTCGCATTAATTCTGGCCAATGAAATTACCGGATTACTAACTTGTAAAATTTTTACAGGTCTGCTGTCAGTTTTACAGGTCTGCTGTCAGTTTTACAAGTCAGTAGCGTTTAAACATGACGTTTACCCGTTTGCGTTTTGTCTTGTTAATCAACGTTTACAACTGAGTAACAAATAAAAATATTTTACGTTTTGGTTAACCACCAAAAGCAGGACGATCCCCTCTAAGGAACGGTTTTATCTTTAATAAAATTCCCAAAAATATGTTGGTAATTAAATCGCAGTTTATGCACAGGCAGTAAACCGATCAAATGATTCATAGCCATATTTCACTTTGGAGCGAATTTTATTGCTTAACTATAAGCAACTCATCGCATGAATTTTTATTTGGCCTTTATTTTTAAGTGGACTGGACTCTACCAACTCACCCCTCGATACATCCATACTCCAACCCGGATTTGACCGCTGCCGCAGCCGATCTTTAACTACTCGTGCACTGCGCCACACAGCCAGGCATAAATTATGCGCGAATTTATATATTATATCAGCAATGTAAATTTCGAGACTGCGTTACTCTGGTCCCTTCGTTATGTTTATTGTTTCTAGAACATCCTCGAACAAACGACTAAGCAGCGTGGCACCTAGGCAGAACATTTCACATTAACTACATATCCCTTCTTCTACATGATGGCGCCAATATGTTGCAATAGTGGCAGATATAATAAATCAGTTGCAACTTCGATTTTCAAGGTTAAACAAAATTATCGTAATTATGCTAACCAAAAGCGTACTACATTTTTTAATTTCGAGGAGTAAAAATACGTGACATAATTGAGTACATGAGATCTATTGCGAATAAGATCGAATGGTACACTAGTCCAAGTCATCCATGGTCCTAAAGTTGTACTTGATCACATCCATTCTTCTGCCTTTCTCTGTGCTGTATTGAGGAAGACTTAGTAGACGCACCATACACGGGCTGATCAAAGATGGATTAACTTCCGGATCGTCCTTCTTTCGTGTAATTATACTTCCAATAAGACCGAATAATATTGTTAAAACTGTACCGATACAATAATAGTAGTGGAACGTTATTCTAAACAGCCAAAATACATTTCCACCGCCAGCATTTGATGATGTCAGCGGCCTGCATAGAGTAATTAGACCACTGAGGGTGATCGCAGACAGCTTACGTGGCAGGAGTCATTTCTTGATGGATGAAGTCTGATCGGTCAGTCTTATTGCACCACTCCGTACTTAGATATTTGGGTAAATACCGGGTGTCGCTATGCCATACGTGTACTTGAGTTTGTATAATGATGATGCTTATCAAAAGAAGAGAGCTGATAACTCCTATTAAGGCACCCTGAAAACTCACATAAGGTTATGGTGACGGTACCTTGAGGTACTCCAGCTAGCTGCTACCTACCCTACGATTTGCACAGGGAAACAGCATTCCTAAAGTGAACAGTCCAAGAACCGGTCCTCCCGTAATCGCCTGGGCACTGTGAAACAACTCAAAGAGTGACCCAAGCTTGTCCGCCACAAAAATCATCCCCACATTGACCAGACCAATTACAATCGTCAGCACTTTTATTATGTTACTCGAAGCTTGCTCGGATATACCTCGACGCAAAGTCGGCTTGATGAAGTCCAAGTACAATACGCCCGCAACCGTATTTAGATGCGTCGAAAGTGTACTGCAACTGCTGTTCAGGAGACGTTCGCAAAACTGTTTTTATTACCTCATTGCCGTGCTAAACAGACCGGCTATAAACAGGCCGCTCACTCCTGGTGTTTGCTTGGCAATGTCGGTTACGTAATACGGAACGATCTGGTCAATCTTCGTGATATACCCGGCCGAGAGTGGATCGCAGCCGTAATACTTAGTGTAGAGGATTAATCCCGAAAAGCAACTAATCACCTTGGCTAGTGAAGCAAATACGCTAAAAATTATTGAAGCCCTACAAAAAAAAGGTTAAGTAGAGAAGGACGGGTGACTTTACTTTTTTGCGTCTTCCAACTTTGGTATCGATGAGAAGCGCTGCACTCCCGATGGATTGATCGCCACGAATCCTAACCAGGTGAATATGCTTCCTACGAATACTGACCAAAACGTGCATCTCAAAGTAGGGTTGGGATCCACGCTAAAATTTCCTTAGGACAGAGACGATTGATGAAGGGACTTACTTGAAAAACTCCAGGCGATCTCCACTCTCAGACGCTTCCCATATTGTTTTGGGACCGCCCACAGAACAGATACCAATAACCAGTACAATGGCCAAGGTGCACAATGTGATTGAAAATTGAAGGGTGTCGGTCCATACTATCGCCTTTAGGCCGCCAATCGTTGTGTAGAAGATGCAAATTACCGACATAATGGGAGCGATTAGATGTAGTTGTATTCCTGTAACTGAAACCACATAGGATGATTGATGCTCTACACTCTAGATACCTTGGGTAAATGCCAGTGACGGCGCATATATGACCAAGGGGAGGAATAGAATACACGTGATCAGGTACAAGAAGGAGGCGATTAACTTGATTACTCTGTCGAAACGAATTTCTAAGTAATCATTTACGGTTGACAGTTTCAGCCTGTGAAAGACCGGCATGTACAAGTAGTTGTTTAATACTCCCATCGTGATGACTCCAAAGATCATGACGGATATTTGCATGCCGTGCATGTAAACCTCAGCGGGTAGCGAGATGAGACCAATGCCTGAAAGCGTACTGAAAACCATCTCTCAGGACCCAACCTGAACAAAACCATACTCTCACCTGGCAACTAAAGACATCGATATAGGGAAGACCTTCATTTTCTTTCCGCCCAAAAAATACTCGGCGGTCGTCGATTGGTTACCGCAGCATCCGAAGTAAATGCCAACTATACAGCTTAAACCAAACATGAAGATGAACAACAGATAGTCAATTGCAAGGAATCGCACATCCTCCATTTTGCCAAGGCGGTGCCGGAGACCGTGTTAATTGTATCACAGCTTAAAATTAATTGCGTGTTAAAACAATTTTACTTTGCACATATTCCACGCTTTGCGATAATTTGGCGGAAAATTGTCAAATCAACACGTGCGGCTCATCTGAATGTCTTTCTCGATAGTAAAACCTAACCTTGATTTTTTACAACTGCAATTCTCAGATGCACTCAGAGTTGATGGCCTCAATGTAGAGATAAACTATCTTGATTCACACCAAAGCCCCTATTGCTATTCTTGGGTGGACTGGAAAAGGTTCAGTGAGTTTCTTCTGTTGTTTTGTTTTGTTCTGATGATAGATTTCTAACGAAATTTATATTTCTATTAATTAACCACAATTGAGGACTGTAAAGCGTGTCTACGTGCTAATTTCACTGTGAGTTAATCACTTGTGGCTTCTGAATTAGGTCTTGATAGATAGAACAGCACTCATGGCAGTTTGACTTTCTTGGTTTTTCAAAAACCTTTCAAATGTTACTTTTCCGCCTATTATGTTCTTTTGGCACACACGTTTTCCTTTGTTTTTGTGCAACAGGACAACAGAAACACGTGAAGGTACAAGACCTCTAAAATTGGGTATCTGGAGTTTACCTCTTGGGTAATGATAGGTGGCTAATGAGAGTAGTGCTTGTAGCCACATTACCCCCATAGAACTTGCCCCCGATACGGCGGAATTAGGTGATTTTTTCGTTTTTATCATTGACAGAGGTACAAAAGAGTAATAAAATTAACAGACATTGACATCCAGCGTATGATACCTGCTTCATTTAAAAATTGTATCAATATCACATAAAGACTTGGTGGTGATAATTTTGTTGTAATCTATTGAGAGACCCCTTCTCAAATATTATGTTTCGTTAATTTAGATATGCTTCACTGATATGAATTTTTCTTTCCTTAGTTGTACAAAGATAAAAAAACTTTTAGATACCTTTGCTACCAACTTCTTGTACAAAATTTACTGTATCAGGTCCAGCGAAAGCAAGAAGGTGCCAAATGCCTTCTCATGTCTTGTCTCCTGATACAAATTTGCTATGTGGGTTATTGAGTGTGATGTTATCATGATGCATTTTTTTGTTTTAGTGCTATAATGTATAAAGTTAATTAAAAACACATTCCCACGTATCATGTTTTCTTGATAAAAAATTATCCTTCAGGAATCGAATACGAGCGAATATACAATTTATTTTGCAACTACCTTCTCGGATATTATGTTTTTCTTTTAAGAAGAATCTCCAAAACGCAACGAAATGAAGAAACTAATTAAACTTCGCCTTCCCGGGTATTACCTATGTTTCCCTGATAAAAGGAATTCCCTTTTTGAAACCCTTGCGTCAGAATCCCAGAAACACAAGGAGGTGTACAATTTCTTCGTGAACTTGATACGCATTTTTCTCCTAACAGTTGTTGTATCGGGATCACATAAACGCAAGAAGGTACTGTTCTTTTATTTAAATCGCAGTGTTTATTCACAAATACTTTCGCATAGGTATACTGAGTTTGAGGTATGAGTCTCGCCCAGGTTCCGGTATGAATACGACTTTTACGTCCCTCCACGCGATAGCTTTGTGTACCAGGGCAATAATAGGTCGAAACCTTGTTATAGTAGAGCAAAAAATCACTGGAGATTTATACGGATGGAAAGACTTCACTTCCCACTTAACTTTACTATCTGCCGAGCCAAAACCTTCTGTTCCCTTTGAGTAGTGGTTCTATTCTATTCTATTCGCAGGGAAGCCCGACCGGGCAACACTTAGGCACACGAGAGGTCCATTGTGCCTACCCCCTTTCTTTCGCAACTGAGTTCAGAGCCCGTTCCTCTCAATGAAGGATAGGACCCTGTTTAGCCTAAGTTACTTCACCCTCCCCGGTTCCAGATATCTGTCTCCAAGGAGTTGATATCTGTCCCTGATCAAAGCGTCACAGTGACAGACCACATGCTCGGTAGTTTCATATGCCTCGCCATAGCACGTGGACTCCTCCGCGAGCCCAATGTTATGCAGGTGATAGTTGACCATCCAGTGCCCCGTAAGGACACCGGTGATCTTACTAATCTGGTTTCTATTCAGTTTTAGAAGCTTAGAAGACCCCGATTTGCCAAGGGGCCCTGTTAGAAAGGCCTTGCTGTCGGAGTCCAGTTACTTGCCACTGAGCCTGGAATTGACTGGTCAACCAGTCTTTAATCCTGGCCCTGACAACGGAGGGAACAATTCCTAGGGCAGGCTCGGGCCCGACGAAGACCCCACCACTGCCCTCGCGAGCCAGCTCGTCCGCCCTTTCGTTGCCCCTTATTCCGCAGTGCGCTGGCACCCAAATCAAGACCCTATTAGACTCGCCTAATCTATCTAGAGTTCGCCTGCAATCAAGCGCCGTAGCCGATTTTAATAATTTAATCAAGTAGGCTATGATGAATTAAAAAGACAAAACAAAATCTATTTGAGGCAACATAACAATGAAAATAATTACATCACGTGTGTAAAATACTGGCCATTATTATTGAAACACGCCTTAAGGCAGTTTACTTTAGGCAACGTGTTGCCATTGATACTATAACACGCCTTTAGAACGGCTTCGCGTAGATGTAATTACCTATTAGTATAGTGGTTACTTCCATATACTTTATTCTTTAATATTGTGACCTGGGCAGCCAGCTCAATTGTTGGTAGGTACCATATACCAACGCTTTCTGCGAAACATACGTTGTCTAGAAAATCCTTTAAGGAAGTTTATTGGAGAATTTGTAAATAATGGTGAGCAGTTAAAGTTCCATCGAAGATTACCGGTCCAATTACATGACTTTCCATTATGTCATAAAATACATTAATATAAAACCTTGCTTGATTTCGGCGTCAAACTACAACATGTAGATTTTCCTGTTACGAGTACTGTTCATTATGTCGATTTGAACACTCCGCGTTGGAAAAATAAGACTCATCTGTCCATATACTCGGACTCGTAAAACTGCAGTTAGTTTCGATAAACCACCATGTGACCTGGGACAATGCATCAATGGTATGGTAATACCAAGTAAAGTAAATCGAAGTGTCTTGAAATGTGTTTAACTGGATAATGGCATGGCATTTTTTGGAGAAGATAGTTTGCAGTTATACCAGCATTTTGTAGGTATGTAAGTATGGATAATATGATAGTCAATAAGTGACGTCAGAAAAGTCAAAATTTGTCTACGCCTATTTATATAAAATTTTGGAGGAAGTTGTAATGCCCAAACCCCCTCCCATGAGTGCGCCCCTGATATTTTAAACATCTTATGTAATTACTTTCATCGTTTTGTTGCCTCGAATAGATTATGTTTTGTTTTTTTTTTAATTCATCATAGCCTACTTGATTAAAATATAAAAACCGTTGATATAACTGGTATCTTATTTTCAATCTTATGCTATGATAGCTCGTTGAAAAGAGAATTAAAAAATCTATCAGATAATCTAAAAATCCAATATGACGCCTATTTAACTTTAGGAAGTTGGTAAATGTTCTTCAAAGGTAGCCATTTTGAATTTTTTTTTACATCAATTCTAAATTAGACGTATTAAAGACAGTAACTTTTATATAATTTTTTCCTCTTGTACTTTCGATGATATAAGATAAGACATTAAAGAAAATGAACAATTTTAGTTTCTTTGAATTTACGTCGAACCTATTCCACATTTTGAATTTCCACAAGGAAATTTTAAATACTTAAGCATCTAAAACTGCAAAACATTGTCCATTTAGCCAATTCTCTATCTTTAATAATAAGAAAGTTACCCATGCAATCCCACCCGATCTGGAACACACTGTATATGCTTATTACGGTAACCTCTGCGGAGGTTTTTCCTGTGCACAGGTCATGATGGCTAACATCTCTGCCTGAGACACGGTGCTATGCTGACCAAGTTTGAGTAGTAGTTCGAGAGTAATAAATTGATTCGGTCGAGTGATTTTGAGCGAGAGCTTTTGATCCTGAAAAGTGTGATTGAAACAAAAGCTGCAAGGTCTCATTTGCGTTCTCTGAATAACCCCCGGGGGGAGTAAAAATACTCATAAACCTAGCCACCTGCTATGCCCGCTTACAAATTAAAACATGATGATGACGCCTCAATAATGCAAATATATTAAAAAAAATTAGTTGCAAACGTTTTTTCGAGTATTATGTTCTCCTGATACAAATCTTTCATTTCAATATATATTGTATCAGAGTCACAAAGACTAAATTGCTTCTGATTTAAAAATTTCTCTTTAAAAAGTATTGCATCTGGATTACATGAATGTAAAAATGTGCCAAATTGATTATTAAGCACCTCCTTAAATTATGTTTTCCTTTCACAAACTTTTTTTTTCAAATCTATAGGCAGCACAAAAACGAAAGCTTTCCCTGATGAGGGAAGAGCGACATACTCAACACAAACAACTAATTAATGGTTTTTACGTATTATGTTCTCCTGGTACACATTTCTCTTTTAAATAGTGAATTAGTATTACAAAAACGCTAGAAACTGCAGTTTGTTTTAAATGACTTCTCGAGTATTGCGTTCTTCAATAGTTTCGCTGATCTAATAACAGCCCCTAAATTCACTTTAAATACAAAGACGCGCCAACCATCAGTCTCTCTCAAAATAATTACGCTAGCTACTACTCTAGCTACTATCATCAAATTAATAAAAATTGTTTGGAGGGTACCTTAATTAAGCGTTTTCAACAACAAAATTTGCGGAAGAAACCCCAAATTTTCCATGATCTTATTATTAAAAGTTGAGTCGATATGTGAGGTTATGTTACTTTTTCTTTTATTTCAATGGTTACTTCAAACTTCATGATCACTTTTAAGTTGGTAAGAGTGTGCGTAATATTCCTGACTGCCAACTTCAATTTCTTAAGAGGTTATGTTAATATTGTTTGGTGATGCTTTACAGATAAACGTTTAAAAAATTAGAAAACGTTGATGTAAAACCATGCATGTGTTTGTATTTATAACATAATAGCCGTAAATAGTTATTTATGTTTCACATAATTCATGTGTCAATTATTTATAGATGAGCAGCATTTTATCCATGTATCATAATGAAGAATATACCAATTGGAAACATGACTTAGGTTCATTTTAACTCGGATGTAAAAGGCGGTCGATACGAAAAACCGACCCATATGGATGATGCGAGAGGTGTCCCTTCCCCTCTCGGGTGTAAAAGGTGACTGTCTGCGAATCCGAAAGTGGTTTTATTATCCACATGGAAGTGGCGTTTATTTTGTGTATATCTCGAAGTACATCTAAATTGTATTGTGTATTATACCAATTATACTACTTCTGTTACATTAACTTTTAACATACCCGTTAAACCCAGCATATTTCAATTTAGTAGACGACGAGTGTAATACAACCTCATAAACATTTAAGCTGTCATTTCCTGAAACTGATCAGCTTTTTCAGTTTTAACAACTTAAAATAATAAACCATAAATTTCAGCTTTTTCCGCAATTTTTTGTTGAAAACGCTTAATTGGACCCTAACATAAAGTAGGTATGAAAATGAAGGTTTCTTGACGATTTTGGGTAAAAACAGTTACGTGTGGATCACAAAAATCGGCGATAAAATGTAACGCTAAAAATATTTCATCTTGTGTAATGTTTATATATAATTTTATCATGAAAAATATGGGTCGTCAGTCAAAGTCACATAGTGTGCCCTTTCCGCTGTATACATTAGATAATTGGATTAAATTGATTCCGAAAATAAAAACAGTATGATAACCTCAAATGTTAGTAGTACAGTATTTATACAGTAGACTGACTGTTTTGAACTAGCCATGGTGACATACAGACTACCTCACTTTGTTGCTCTTATTTTAATTCTGCAAGTGTACGATAGCACGAGTTTCATATATGAAGGTATGTTGTAGCTGTGCAATCGCCATTTTACCACGGTTACTTATTTTCAGAGTACTATTGGCAAGACTATGAAGGAAAGATACCAGATGAGGCTCTTGTTGGAGGCAAAGATGCGACCGGTATGCCAATTTACATAGGTCAAGCCTACTATTTTAGTAAGTTACTACCTGCGAAAATTTATAAAGGTGACAACAACGCGTATGTGGCGTGGGGTTCCGAAATTAAAGTGTCCGAGCATATCAAGGTATCGACTATAATATGTTTAATATGAGTATTTCAATGAGGATTTGTAGATTCTATGCACTCCGCATCCTGAGAGGTTCAAATGGGTGCAAACGAAAAAGAACGAAATTCACAAACTCATCAATCATAAGCTTGTGAAGGGTGGATGGGAACCGTCCTATGACCTTTACATTGGAAGAGCGTTTCACAAGTCGCAAACGTTGGTGGGAAGCGTTAAGGTGGCTGGAAGACCCAGCCTCAATTTGGGCCTCCACATTTCCTCCAATGGGGCTCAAGTTGTGGTGAACGATTTTGAAATTCTGACATACGTTCCCGAAAAGAATTTAACTGAAACACGGCATTGCAATCAAAAAATTATTATTGTTTAATAAACTTATGTACAAACTGAAGCCTAACTTTTTACAAGCATAACATTTTTAAAACACCGCGCTTGATCAGTGACGTTCGCCCAATAATCGTAGGTTAAGATCTGGAACGAATCCATGTAGACCTCCTTCTCCGGCACGCTTATGTAGAGACCATGATATGCGCTCACAGTAGGACCGGCCCTCACTCTCCCAACTAGCGTTTGCCACTTGTGGAAGGCACGACCGATGTATAAATCGTACGATGCCTCATAGCCTCCCTTGACTAAGTCTTTGCCGATTAGCTGGTGAATCCCGTCCTTCGTGCTGTCGATCCAAACCATACGTTCCGGGTGTTGCGTGCACAAGATCTGTTAAATTAAAGTCGTAGTGAACCTACTCAACCCGTTAATCGTGGAATACTTTAATGTTATCCTTGGTCGACAGTTCCCCGCCCCAAGTGTAGTAAGCCTTCGAATCGTCCGTGTATATTTTGGAAGGCAGGAGCGTTGCGCCGTACAGAGCTTGTCCAACGTAAATTGGTCGATCGTTCTGATCCTGGCCCGCTACGAAAGCATCCAATGGTACCACCCCTGCAAAATCCCTCCAGTAATATCCTAGAAACAAGAATTATATTGCGATTTTGACCTTGCTTTAGTGTTACCATCCGAACAGTTTGTCAGCAGAAATGCTTGTATAAATGCCAAACACAGTAGAAGCGCGGACATCTTCACAGAACCGTTGATTACTTGCTTCTCTCACAATCTCCTAATGGGATTCTGAGCAAACAAAAATATTGTGTAATGATTCTGTATATTAAACTGCGGGTTATCGATGTATATTTTCTATGTAACCTTCAGATAAAACAGAACATTTCTAAAAATGCTCTGGTTAACCCAAAGATAATTACTGGAGCGTATTTTTGAGAACAATACAATTAATATCATTAAAAAGAAAACGCAAGTATGCAGTTTTGCATTTTACAAGAGTGTAAATTAACAATATAGCATTAATGAAAGGAACCTGTTTATGTTAAAGCAAATTTTTAAATCAGTAAATTTCCATGTGTGTCATGACCGGATAATGGATTGTGCGACAGTCGGACGGGCTTTAACAAGCGATAAAATAATGTTGATGGTTTACGTGACCAAAACAGCACACTCCGGATGAGTTTCGGGGGAATCGCTAGGTTGCAGTTTTAAATACAATCGTGAGTTAGAAAACGCACATGATTCATTGAGTTACACAAATCAGATTCGTTCATGATTAAAGATGGCCGCGTTAATTAATTAGCGCCATTTTGGGGAGCGTGCTAAATTTCTAAAAGAGGATTAGGGATTAGCCCACAAGAAATAGCGGTAGGGAATTCGGTTTTGGACCACGAGAACAAAATATGTGTTCCGGAATTTAAAAAAATCGGGCATTTTTAATGTCTTTTTTTTAAGCAAGTATTACGGGCGACCGTCAATGAAGTACCTCAAAAAGCGTTTAGTTAACCAAGTAGCTCAGTGTCATAAAATCCCCAAGAGAAACTATGCGTATAAAACAAAAAACCGCCATGAGACGTGCTCGAAAATTCATTGGCGATCAATAACGTAATCATACATGGCATTTGAACATTATACTGAAAGGATTATCGAGAAATTTAAAGGGATATACACTTGTTCGGTAAAACCAGTGTGGATTAAAATTTCGTGTCCAGAACTATCTAAAAAATTTCCAGCGAAAGTGTCATCAATAAAAAGTTTGAATAATATAAACATTAAATTTTGGAGATTGTATGTTGAAAGCGAAAGTTACTTGACGACAGACAGTAAACGTAGACGGTTCAATGCTCGATAAGTTGCTCCAGTCTCCAAAGGATCCTGAAACCGCCCACAATCCACCACAGTATCGTTTTCTATGGTCCATTTTTAAGGTACCAATGAGAAGAGCTGAACCAATGTACTATAGGAAAACTATCGCTTCCTGAGAACGCTATATATAAGATACTGTAAATTTTTCGGGATTTGTAAAAAAATAAGGATCGGTTTTCTTAAACTTTGTATACATAAAAATGTTTATTTTTTAAAAATAATTCTGAAAAGTGTAGGTCTTGGTAATAGGCAGATTGGAGTCGCTTTGTAGTGTATAAAATTATTACATGTGGACTCATTTTGAAGAAGTTTTGTTCTTCCTGTTTCCGTCTAAGGTTCTTTTAGTCAGTTTAAATGAGTTCAATTTTGTTAGTTATAAAATGTTGATCCTTGTATAATGTCCTATTATTCTTAAGAGCTAATTTGGGTAACTTAAGAAACGTGGCCACAATATAGGGATTATATTGTCAGAATCAAACACCTTTATACATGGTGGCTGATATGTCTGGAAACGGTCGATTATCGGGGAAGATATTAAAGAATGCGAAATATGTTTTATACAAAACTTATGGGGGTCTTAAGTGTCTACTAGGCAGTAATAGTTTTAATCATACCGGGTTGCTCATCAAGGCGCACGGCACAGAAAAATTGCCTTTTTTTATGGAACACCCTGTATGTTACTCAATATTTCAATACTTCTCCCAATTTTAAGTAAAATTTGTAATAAGCATAATGTACCTAAATTCAATCGTTTCCGGATTATCGAGTTTTGAAAATAAAAGTTATTATTTTAAAATTCATTAATAATTGAACAAAAAACAATAATTAATGATTCCAAACAATCATAGAAAACTTCACAAACAGCTCTTTTCAGAACCTCACAATGTTTTCAAAAGAAATTTGCGATGTCATTAATCACTGTAACTTTTGAACTAGTAGCCCAATCTTGGAACTGTTTTAAATTATGGATTCTACAGGCCACATTCTATAAAAAAAATTTTTTCCGGGTCGATCTGAGACAATTTTTTTTGCGGGCCACAAAAAAAGGCAGTGTATAACCTTCCGTATTTTCCAAAAATCGACTGCACCAAAATTTCTCGCGAAAACACTTTTTCTTATTAATTTTGGTGCGTAGAATCCAAAACAATTCGTACTTTTTCGATCAGACTTCTCAATCAAAGGTTATAGACTAGAAACCAATTTCGAAAGAAAATTCAAAGGGCTGTAACTTTTGAACTAGTAGCCCAATCTTGGAACTGTTTGAAATTATGGATTCTACAGGCCACATCTATAAGAAAATTTTTTTTCGGGTCGATCTGAGACAATTTTTTTTTCCCAAAAAAAGGCAGTGTATAACCTTCCTTTTTTACCAAAAATCGACTGCACCAAAATTTCTCGGGAAAACACTTTTTTTATTAATTTTGGTGCGTAGAATCCAAAACAATTCGTACTTTTTCGATCAGACTTCTCAATCAAAAGTTATAGACTAGAAACCAATTTCGAAAGAAAATTCAAAGGGCTGTAACTTTTGAACTAGTAGCCCAATCTTGGAACTGTTTGAAATTATGGATTCTACAGGCCACATTCTATAAGAAAATTTTTTTTCCGGGTCGATCTGAGACAATTTTTTTTGCGGGCCTCAAAAAAAGGCAGTGTATAACCTTCCTTTTTTACCAAAAATCGACTCCACCAAAATTTCTCGGGAAAACACTTTTTCTTATTAATTTTGGTGCGTAGAATCCAAAACAATTCGTACTTTTTCGATCAGACTTCTCAATCAAAAGTTATAGACTAGAAACCAATTTCGAAAGAAAATTCAAAGGGCTGTAACTTTTGGACTAGTAGCCCAATCTTGGAACTGTTTGAAATTATGGATTCTACAGGCCACATTCTATAAGAAAATTTTTTTGCCGGGTCGATCTGAGACAACTTTTTATAGTATTCGAATACCTTTGATAGTATTAGAATACTTTTGAAAGTATTGGAATACATTCTAAAGTATTTGAATACTTATTTTTTTAAGTATTTGAATACTTTTCAATGTATCTGTATCTAGTATTCGCTTGTGCTGGACGTAAAAGTATTTAGTATTCAAATACCTTTGATTTGTGTAAAGTATTTACTATTTATTATTCAAATACTTTTTGAAAGTATTCTGCCCAGCTCTGTATATAACCCATCATCTTTAATGTCTTGAATTGGACATTGTTAATAATTGTTAAATGAATAATGCCTTTGTTGTAAATAATACTGAATACGTTTCACTTTCGCGCGTATTCTATTTACCAGGCACCAAATTATTCGGGTGTAAACGATCACTAATTCACTAATTACGTGAGCCGCTAATTAGCAAACTCTTTAATGCCATTACACAGTTACCGTGATATTATTCAATCAAGGAAACTAAATACCTGGGAATAAAGCACAACACAACAGCTTAATTTCCACAAAACATGTGGTTACGCTACCTTTTTATGCGAAATTTGCCCGTATAACTTTTTGTTCGCTACCAAGGGAGGTAAAGGCGTAATCCATACTTGGATTTATTCCAACTCGAAAAGTTCGAAGTACAAAATGCACTGAACAGACAAATTAAAATCCCCCACTGAGATTCTGCTCATACGCGCTGCAGACTGTAGTAGTTACGAGTTTTGCCTCGTTCTACTGAAGAGATTAATTAGGTAACTATTGGTTTGCGAATTAACTTCGCTTCGATGAAACTTAATGAAAACAGTTGTAAGAACAAGGGCGAAAACTTTATGTTTGTAATGATCCCAGTCACGGTTCGGGGGATTAATTCACTTTCAAGAAAATTATATTTTGGACGTCTGAAGCGTGTTCTTGCTACAAAGAATTTTACGGAAGGTAATTTGCACCACCATTTGAGTAGAACGCAATTTAATATTTAAAAGGTAAATCACAAAATGAGCAATGACCAATTTTTAAATAAATTGATGTTTAGTTTTACTGAAAAAATAAAACCGCAATATGCGAAAGCCTTTGAATTTTCCATTATGAGAGAATAACGGGCCGTCCACAAAAGAAGAGCCTGAAATGGGCATCATAAGTTGTGCAACAATCGAGCCAAAACTGATTTAAGGATGCTCTCGAAAAATATAGCGCACTGCAAAATCGTGGATTTTACCACTCGAAACTTTACCAATTACGTTCCTACAATTCACAATAACTCTGCTCTTTGCTAAGTAATATGGTTAATTGAAAGTTAGAACCGCGATGTAAAGCGGATAAGGTGACGGAAAAGGATCTTTTATTTATCGTCGAAAGATTGGATATCCTGTCATTTTATTAGACCTTAAATAACTGGGAGTAATCCCTTATGACGTTACGCAGCGAGGTAGGAAAAGAATTGAGGAGAAATGTGCCTATAAATATTTAGTCTCCATCGCACTTCCGTGTAGTTTTTAGAATTGCCTTTCTGAGGAATTAGGAAAAAGGAAATTATTTACCACCCCTTTCACAGGACGTCCTTCTTCAAGTTATCAGTAGAGGATTACCTAATTTAATTAAATTAGGGTTGGTGTTTTGCCGATTATGTAAGGTATTTTTGAGACCCATTGGAGGATAATAGCAGGCTTGGAACGAGCCAATTTGTCGCAAACAGATTACAATACATTAGCCCATATGTATAACATTTGTATACATTAGATAGAACATGCTCTACACTCTACAGTGTGGAAATTACCAACGGAAATGAAAAATGAAAACTCATCTCCTGGGTTGTAATTTGGGCTCGATTAAACATAAATAGAACATTTACAGATGAAATAAATTTATTAGACAAAATTAATCAAAGAGGCCAAAATAAAATAGGTACTCAGTGCCAGAAGACAAATACCGCGCAAAAAACGATCGAATTAAAACCATTAATTAGGAATCTTAACTACGTTAAAGTGTTAATAATCGAAAATTACAAACTGTCATTTTCTTTAAATAACTCAGACACACACAGACATCAAATGATGATACGTTGGAACTTCGTTTGAATCTTGATTTAGATGAATACTGGGTTCGATGTAAAATTGGCTCTTTGATAGTGGGAAAACTGATACTTTAATACCTTACAGAAAGGCTGATAATTGCTGAATAAACACAACACTCCTCCTTCGTAAACTTCACTTCGACTTAAACATTCACGTTAAACGGTGTAATTAAAATTTCTTAGAGCACTCAAGCTAACTCTCTTCTACAAGTCAAATGGAAATACGACCGTTTTGCAATAATCCGCTCAAATACGGCAAAACTGTCGAACACCAAGACAATCAGCGCAGCGGCTACCTCCACCAAAAAAAACAACGTAAGTGCAGTCAAACGTTTATTACTCTTTTTTTATTGAATCGACATCTACAACTGCAGAGCGCGCTTCTTTAGGGACTTTGTCGGAATGCCTAAAACCTAAAACTAAGCAAGAAGCCTCCCTACAGAGCGTCCTCTCATGCCTTTGATAGGGTAGTTTTTGATGGGGCAGTTAGACCTACAATATTGGTTTTAGAAATTATCTACATTAAGGGCCAGTACTTGGGTTTAAGAAAGTACTCGCCCTAAGATAATTACCTGTCCAATCAAAAACTTTGTCATTAACATATCCTTGCGCCTCAAATAGGTCTCCAAACAGTTTTCTTAGATAGTCATAATCGGGCGCCTCGGTAAAATCTAATCGCTTGACATATCTGAAGTAAGTAGCCATTTCTTCGGGGTGTCCTTCGCATAATAATTCGATGGGGGTGTTGCGCTTCGTGTCGCCAATTTTCTGGTATCTTTCTTTCAATGTATCCGCCTTCAGCCCTTGCCAAGGTAGTGATCCTCTGAGAAAGTACATGAACATATGTCCTAAAGCCTCCAGGTCATCTCTACGAGATTGCTCTTTTCCCATATGCGTGTTAACGCTCATGTATCGAGCCGTTCCCAAAAGTGATTTATGTTCGCGATATGGAATGTGCTTATTCGTATCGGCCTCGAGGTATTCCTTTGCTAGGCCAAAATCAACTATGTGTATTACGTTTTCCTTTTTTGTTCCTAGCCTTCCAATTAGAAAATTTTCAGGTTTTACGTCGCGAAAAATTAAACGTTTACTATGAACATACTCCATTCGCGCCAGTAATTGATCTGCGATTATTAAAACGGTCTTCAGCCCAAAACGGCGACCGCACAATGTGAAAAGGTCTTCCAAGGTTGGACCCAGAAGTTCCATTACTAACGCGTTATACCGACCACCGCAGGTGCCCAAATGGTACACCTTAGGAATGCCTGAAAAATAAAATAACGTTTATATCTGCTTAAACATTTTGTGGATGCGTTAAATTTCAAAATACCGAACAAGTAAAAATTAATTAACAGCTTGTGCATGTTTAGCTCTTGCGTTGAAAATTTAAATTCGCCCCTATTTCACTTCGACGACTGAAAAAGCTGGCCGGCGCATGAAACACAATGGGTGGTCAACGTTCAATGTGCTGATATCTGACAACAAAGCGCCTTTCATTAAAAAATACGATCGAGCATTAACCGTTCTTTTTTTTTGTAAAATGCACTATCAAGCTTTATAAAACCATCAAAGCTCACCACGTTGCAATTACGTATCCATTTAATCAGAAAATGGAGTTAATAAGTTGGGAAAGGACTTTAATATTTCAGTTGCTCGTGACAAAATACAAGTATACAATATGAGACTGTTTAGCTTGTAGCGTTTGCTTTTGGTTTTATTTTTCTTAGTGTTACAATGCTGTTTTGTTGCCATTTAGTCGCTTATTTACCCATGTAGCTTCGGGAAAGAATATCCCTACCATAGACTGCACTACTAAGAGGCGTTTAAACAGCAGCCGGGCAGCTAGATTTATTGCTCGCTAATCAACGTCTTTTCCCATTCTTAAAGAACTACTCTCTAAGTTTTGATGACTCATCCTATGTCAGCTTTCTTTACAAAAAAGAAGTCCTCCTGAGATAAAATTACCGCTTCATCTACCACTCACTGGAATTTACTAATCCCGGAACTCATTAAGTAGACAATACTCCATAGAAATCAAAAGACGCAGAAAAGCCGGTTGTTAATTCCATTACTCGCTTAACGAAACTTTGTTTACTGTTCCACCAAACATAATTTATTAGAAAATTTTAACCTTCATATTTTGACACCCTAAAAACCAAAAAAATCTCGCAAACAACATCGTTTTACTATGAAATATATTGTACTAATTTACCGATAATCGCGCTCTTTTACAATTTCAAAGGGTGAAAATTTCAGCAGAGGTGCATGTCCTCTATTACAGTAAATGAAGAGAGGGTGATAATTTAAATATAATCAATCCGTTGAAGGTTTTTTAAACAGCACCAGGGGCGTTGAAAAATCGATCGAGCTAAGACATTATTGAGCAATGATGAAATAACGCATTTCACAGTTGACAAAGGTTCAGAGATGCTACGTATGTACCTACCCTCGTACTGTTCTAAAATTTTATAAAACCGAAACTCCAAATGCAATTGAGGCGCCTTCGTCTTAATGGGTTCCATCTTAATAGCAACATGCTCGTTATTGTAAAGGTTTTTTCCCAGCCGCAATTCGCCAAAATTCCCACTGCCAATTTTCCTTCCGACCTTGTAGTTTGGTCCTACCATCAGGACCCCCGAACTGGACGCAAGTGGTGATTGCATATGTGAGGTTGTGGGTAAAACGCGAGGTGAGCTCGATTCTAGGTTGTCGTTCTAGAAAAATGCCCTATTTTACCATAACGTATACTGCCCTAAAGGGCTCAGCTACCTTTTTTAAATGTTCGCTATCTTTATTTATTACAATGTTTCCATTTGTAAAAACTTTCCTCCAAATGTTCATTGTAATCTTGGGGTGAGAGATTGTCGATTATACCTTAAAAAGACCGTCCAATTAAGTATTGGGCAGCCTATTAGTTACGAACTTACATCATTGTGTAAATAGGTTACTGACAATTTTGACTCTGACGTTGTCAGGTATATTATTTGACATCAACTAACCAAGATTTCGTCTTATTAGATTAGAACTTTAATTAAATCATGCAATTAGTACCTACCTACCCAAATTTGATGCTCAAACTCAAACCAATGTACTACGTAGCCGAGATCTCTACTAAATTAGGTTAGTTTACTTTGAGATTTAGAACATTCGATACTGCCGGAGTAGAAAATGGGGCTTAAAGTAATTGTCTGTTTGTTTTTCTTATGTTGCGTGTTTTGTAAAAACGCATAGGCTCAATCCTATCTCCACCTTTCCACAAGTTTTATCGTGAAAGTGTATCGTATACAAGTATTCGTATTCTGTCAAACAGTGAGATTCTCAGGTCGTTGCATCGGAGAACTTAAAACTTTGAAAGATTTCATTTAAGCTACAATACTATCAATACGGCGATTATACCGAAAGTCGACCTCAACTTTTCCATTTTCAATTGAATATTATATTATGAACTTTATCGTCTAAAAGGGTTCTTAAGGTATCCGTATTACAGATAGATGAAGTTTTATATTATGAAGGTTGATAGTTACAAAAGCAATTTAAACTCCCTCTTTTTAATAGAGCTTTAGCCTTTTAATGAAACAATGTTTTGGAAGTAAATTTACTTTTAAATTTCTTGTACCTATCTTGTTTGCTAGCAAACAAAAAGATCATAAAGTATTACTTTTACTATACGAACTGTACGAGGTCTTTTACAAAAATACGTAGACTGTTTGTCGTCATCTTCCTAGGTGTATGATAAGTTACGTTTAGTTGGCTATCTATTATAATATGTAATAATTAACTTTTTACTTACTACGATTAATGGTGTCTTAGTTCCTTTATTTCTCATTTTTAACTTATCATGCACAAAGAAGTATTAATTATTTCTTTTTTGTATTTCTTTTTTTTGTTTTATTATACATTTTTTTTGTTACTACAAATTTAGAAATTTAGCTTAGCCACTGAGTTCTAACTTAATATTGGTCAATGGGGGTTTACAGTATAGTTGAATTCCGCAGTTCTAATTTAATACGCGTCTACCTGAAACCATAAAACATTTTTTTGGACAGTAAAAGTTTATTTAAAAATAGAGGTTGATTAGCAAAAAAATAATGAACATGTGCGGTTTTAAAGGTTTATTCCAAACGATATGATTGTGGCGCGCTCTGTGACGCAAACAAAAAAAAAAAAATAATAATAATAATAAGCCCGACCAATCAGCTCCTAGAACCATTCAGATGACATAACGACTTGGCAATATTGCAGGAGAATGGCATTTATAACTTGCGTCATCTGTCACAGGCACTTGTCACTTTCGTGCTAGATGCAGTTAAACATCCCTCTCAAAACGTCAAATGTGACAAACGTCAGACCCTCGCGTAAGGTTGCCAGCTCACTTCTACGTGATTGGTTGTAGGTTTGTGACGTATTTAGTCTGAAGCGTTTCAAATTCGGACTAAAAACACAGCTTTTCCATAATTTATTTTGGGTTTATTTTACTCGCAAATGAAAATTGAGGACACGCGGGTCTTTTTATTTTTAATGTACTTTGTGGATCAGAAATAAAAAATGAAGGCGGGATGACCCCATTATGGATCGATAGTTTTAATAGTAGGTACTCTACAAGATATCCGGAACTTAAACTGGTCCATAAAACTTGGATTTGGACGGGTATAAATAAATCAAAGATAACCCCTTTCTTTGATAACCTAAAAATTTACATACTTTTTAAATAAGGGGGCTAATCGTGGATGAAGCAATAATTAGTACCAATAAATTACAGCCGAAACCTAAACAAGAACATACTAAATAAACGAAACGCAAATGGCGGTACTTTGGATAAAAAAGGAAGAATGCAAATTATATCCTTACTCGGAGTATAGGTGAAATCCCGTCCAAAAATTACTTCGGAATCCCTAAATTATGAATCCAATCGCCTACAATCACTATATATGGATGATGGCAATTAAAATTCAATGAGTTCTAACTAACGCTGTCAGCTGTTTATGTAAACGAAGTATATTTCGATACGGCTTACGAAAGAAAGGAAGATCAAAATCGATACGCACCAATCAAAGCGCTGGCGGTATGCGCGGCAAAATTGCATTGTTAAATTCCAACAATAGATGGAGCCATCTATTGGATAGCTTAAACGTTACGGGGTTCTTTCAACAGGTAATAAACGTTAAACAATAATAATGCTTTGTAATGGAGAGAATAAATCGTCACAATTTCCTATTGATGAAACCGTTCTTATCGGAATCTAAGTTACCATAAACCTTCCATAATATTTAATTAAAATGAGCGAAATTTGTGCTTAATCCAAATCACTGCTTTTGGTTTTATGCACCATGATGTCGCCCGTACCTAAATTTGGGTTTGCTAGAATTCCTTTTAGCAGAACGATTTTTATTCATTATGATGAATTAATTTATTGCGCGGTAGAGCTTGTGCCAATAGAAAATCTCCACCTTCTAATGCATCCGATACAATTCCCCCAGAAATGTTCATAGTAAAAATTTGACCACTTCAGGTGGACACGCGTTCACTTCACAAGCGTCAAGGGAATTACGTTCGTAATTGAGAAAGCGACGCGCGATTTATGCCGAAATTTGTGGCAAATATTATTATTTCCCCAACTGTTGGATTTCCCATTATACGCGATTACAGGCGCCACTTGCGGTGAGTTATGGCACCGCTATAAATTTATTGAGAATTTGAAATAATGTATTCGGCTTAGATAGTAATTTATAACTTGAACGGGCGTTTTATTAATTATTGCCAATTCATTTCTCTTTCAACGCTAATAGCCAACAAAAGCAATGCAAGTGGTAACGATTCCTGGATTGCAATTACAAATAATTGAGTATCTGCTGTGTACGTTTATAACGCAACCCCCTAAATAGTTACGTGGAGTAAGAGAGATTTTTTGGGCTATAACAGCAATTAGATTAAGATGCGAGCGACTGTCGGAATAATACCGTGTCATGTTTAATGAAAAGTCAACGTTTCGTCCACTGTTGTAAGGGGCATCATCAGGACAAAAAACAAAATAACAATCAAAAATATATAAACACTCCGGAACGGGAGGAACACGTACCGCTCCAATATATTGCACTCGTTGAACCACTGAACCAGAGAAGGCTAAACCTGCGTATTTAAACTTATTCCGTCAGGAAAAATTGGCGGAAATATTAATCCGTGTTAGAGTAACCTGTACTAATAGCAATTACCACACTCAATTCGAACCAAGTGTTGCATCAAGGTACGTAGAGCATAATGAAGGAAAATATTGCATAACTAGACAATTTTTCTCCCTAATTTTATGCACCTTTTAAGGGGGTGAAGTTAAACCCTAAAGCATTCAAAACATCATAGTAAAGGTCTGCATCGGTAAAGTGCTCGAACATAGAATTCCCAAGCGCGCTACCACAATGTGTGGTCTTATTGATTGGCAATATGTCTCATGGAGTCAATAAACGATTAAAGCGTTTACAGTTTCATCGGTAGGGATTGAATTTTAATGATTCAATCAACAGCTGATTGCCCAGTTCAGCATTTACATACTTATTTCGGTTAACACAAGCTAAAATGGCATATTCCTAAATGCGTGTGGAGATTTCGCTATACTGAATATACCTTTGTACTAATAAAATACAACGGGTATAAAAAAAATTCCTAAAATTTTTTCAGCGCGCAGAACACATTTTATAAAAAAATAGCTCTCTCTTAGAAACGCATTATGCAAAAAAAGATTCGTTATCTTCACGTTGAAGATCACCTAAGCATCTAATTCGTTGAGATTATGTCGTGATAGATATCTTATAATTATTTTCGAAAATCAGAATAATCATACCAAAAGAACTTTGGATACGCCTTTAGATCCGAGCGAAAACGTTAAAAGTAATTATGTTGGGAGTTGTAAGCCCTCAGTCGCCCGTGATCCAAAAATGTAAATGACACTGCGACGTACTTGGGGTAGTTCGCGTACACTCGGTGAGCTTTAAAAATAGTTAAGTATTAGCGGAATAATTATTGCCATTTCATTTAAAAGAACACCGAGTGTACATGAACATCCCTAAGTTCGTCGCATAGAAGCTGGCGCCCGAGCAGGGGCAAACTGGAATTCTCGTCCCATCGATACGTTCAAATAAATTAATTACGCCTTTCCCCGACATCGGAAAAATGTGGGGCGGTGTCAAAATCCAACTTTTTTAAGAGCGCACCTTCGGTTTCGGTACGGTTTTGGTAAAAATCGATACGGTTTACGGAATCAGTACGGCCAGAGTATTTAGTGGAAGAAAATGTCTTTCCAATACTTAATCGTTGCTGCAGGTACCAATGCAAGTCAATTTTTAGCACATTTTTGGAAAATACGCCATTAGGCTGGCTGTCCGACTGAGATCTCAGCAATTACAATAGCTAGAGACTTCAAATTTTCACTAAAAGCTTTCTGATGTAGTGTAGATGTGCACGCTCTAATCTATTTGAATTAGATTACTCGTGAGATCGATAATTTTTAACTTTGCTAATGAAATACTGATCTGCATTACCAAAAATGCGCTTTCATCATGCATATGCTGATTTAGAACTAGTTTGGTTTGCAGAGGAATTGGGATTAAGGTATATTGAAAAATACATTTTGGTTTGAAAAGTTGCGGAAAAAAAATATATAAGAGTTTCTTTTTTGATTACGTTATGTCATATGGCATACAATTATTAACAGCATATTATCTTAGTGGGTGATTTTTGTTGAAAGTATCTAACTTATTATATTTTAATCACAATGACCCATTCCCTGTAGACGAAAGGTCATTTTGAATCTCCTCCAAGCTTTTGCCCTTAGTTTCCAACAAGATGTATAAGGAAAATGGCACCCCCAAAAAACAAGCGCCTGCGGAAATCCAAAATATTGTGTACATACCCCATACAGTGGATAGAGTTCCGAACACTTTCATATATACAAATGACAAAGTATAATAATAGCACATAGAAATGAGGTTGCCCATTTTTTTTGAGCTAATTGAAAATAATTCACCGCCAAACAACTGTGGCATGTAGAATATTCCAAAAGACACAAATATTTTGAACAAAGTTAAACACAAAATGGGAAGTGATGAGACTGCACTTAAATCGACTGTCATTTGGAGGTATAAGTAGATGCCTTCAACAATCAATGCTACACCAGCACCCAATGATGATATGCAAAATAACGGTTTTCTTCCGAACTTATCCACTAGCACCCCTGATAATAGAACTGAAACACGCCAAAGTAATTTACGGAGTTGCTAAGGAAACGTCTTACCGGAAGGTATCTGGACTAATCCATAAATTACACTAAACAATTCATGTGATAGTCCCATGTTGCTTGTTCCTATAATCACCTGAAGATAGGAACCTATAAAATTCATACCAGAGAAGATTCTCACACTATCTGCAACTAAAAATAAACTTATTGATAAAGTCCTTAATGCCGATTGCTATTTGACACCCACTAGCGACAATGAGGAGTGATTTCCTGAAAGTCTTCAAACGTAGTAATTGCAGCAATGTTTGGCTACATTCGTCACGTTTTGCAGTTTCCACGATCTCCTGTAGCATTGCTTCTATTTCAGAATGGCAAACTGTGTGTTTCGACAATCGCTGCAAACTTCTCTCAGCGTCCCTTTCTTTGTTTATCTTTATTAAGTGATAGGGAGACTCTGGCATAAAGGAAAACAAAACTATGAACACAACGGGAAAGATGGCACAGCAAATGATTAAAATTGTGTACGATAGATATGGCCCTGCGGTAAGGACGAATACATTTCCAAATACAGATACGACCACAGGAATGGCCCCCAGTTTTCCTCTGATCTCTTTGCTCGATACTTCACATATGTACACATTAAGGCACTAGATAAAATATAGTCAGTTTGGCTACTGAAGTGGTTACTTACAGGTATAGAAATTCCTTGTCCCAGTCCTCCTACCACGCGACCAAATGCCAAGACACCAACCGATGTCGCCACTCCAATTAAAATCCAGGATGAGAATACCAAAACGGCACCGAGTAACAGGATCGGTTTTCTTCCTAATATGTCGAAAAGTAGCGCTAGTAATACGCAACCGCAAAGTGCGCCTATATTCATTGAAACTATCACCCATGACGACTCTTCCTAAATGTCACTCAGAGAAAATCTGCAAATCAATCCCATACTTACGTCAGTAAGAGGTCGTCCGATTGGCGAATCGTTTGATAATAAACACGGTAGTGTTGGTGAGATCCATACCAGATGCGTATTAACGGATAATTCCAAAACTCCAACTGGAAAAATAGGCAAGGTAATGGGAGTCAGTGAACAAATCGGACTTACCGCAAACGGCTACTATATACTGTAGATATCTGCAATTATCCTTAATGTAATTTAAGCGCCTTCTGAAGGTGTCTATCATCTTCTGAACACTCTTTGCCACAAAGCGTTTTTTAACTAATATGTCCCAAATAATAACTCGTTTTTTAGGAACGGATCTGTTTTGATGTCCTAGAAAGGAACAGTGCTTCAAATATCGTTTGCAAACGATGACTCAAGCAAATCTAACCAGTTAATTTTGCACTTCCAGCCTTGTATAAGACCAGAGGTCTAAAGGGCACTACATATACAGTTTCAGCATTTTTAATCTAATAAATTGGAACCCATAGACATTCTCTTAGACTGAATGATGTTTTTGTCCATTTTTATGTGAACTAAATACGAGTAACGTTTTAGTTTGAGACTGAATTTAACTCATCACGTGGCATACTATTTTTCTTGATTTAAAAAAAACGGAATTCATTGTATCCAAGGATTTTATTCGGAAAATAGAATTTTTTGGAAGCCGCTTACGGGGATATTGTATACTCTCCCCAGACGTTGGGCATTTTAAACCGAGCGACTGTATGCCAGTGTAAAAGCGGTTGTCTTCTTAATACCATTTTGTGTATGACCACCGGATTTTAAAAGTGTTTAACACTCACCGCTTCAATGTACAGGTGATGTGTCCAAAAAATAAGACCCAAGGGCAGACTCGCACAGCTTCTACTATTGGCACCTTTTCTAGCAAAACAATGAATATGGAGAATGGGCAGGTTTAATTAGGTACTATAATTAATTAGGCGATCAACGAGGGTAATTAGGCAATGATTTAATGTAGACACGTGAATATTTCAGGTGATATTCTGATTAAACCTACAAACGTTGTAATAGTTAAAATCGGCCATTATGAAATATTAATCAATTTAGAGGTTGTAACTTTTGTGGTACACTAATATGCAATTACTCTCTAAAAATCAATTACACCTGTTATCCTGGGGCTGAGCTAAAAAACTTTAGGTCGCTTTCTGTAAATGCAATTGATTTCTTTGGCTTTGGCCCAAACGCATGTAATTTAGAGAATGCTGCCATTTCTTACTCGCAGCATTGTTGAATGAATGCACCAAAAGGATAGAAGATTTAAATACTTTTGACATTTCATTCATATATGCCAGCATTAACTATGCGTTTCAGACATTATTCGTAAGATTTTTCTTAATCATCAAAGAAAACAACTGGATTGGACTGGACTGGATTTGAATTTTGCACCTACCAACTTTTCTTCTGCTTTTGCAACAAGCCATTAAGTGGGCGGTGTATTACCTTCTTCAACCTACATCATTTTATTTAGAAATACAGTGGCAATCATGGAATTAAGAATATTCAGCCCACTTAAATCGACATTTATTCGAGTAATAACGTCAATATCACTTTATTTTATTTCGCTTGTTTTTAAATTATATTGCAGGTGCGCGCAACCAGTTTAATGGCACGACGCATAGGGAATTTCGTTAAACCACACCAGAATTTCCATAAATCCAAAGTGTCTGAAACAATCTAGGTGGCTCCAGGCGACTCTCGGAATTGGTTTTTGATTAAGGGGTGGGTAATTAAAATCTTCGAACATTTGTTTTACTCATATGAAGCGTGCCTCTTTTCCAACGTTAATTACGCAACGTTTTGGAAGCTTTGTAGGTAAACATTTCGGTAATCAATTTTCCGTATTTTACGCGTGAATTTCGCTTTGAAACGGTAATATAATAATAATATAAAATGATGTAAAAACCTCTACAGCTACGAAACGCGTTGAAAAGTGACAGACTCAAATGGGCGTCGTGTATCATAGACGGTTCCTTTTAAATTTGCCAAAGTCGCATAAAAGGGTAATTTCAAATGACATATTTACTCAGAGTTAAAAAAAACCTTTGTTTTCGGCGTCGCAAATTCAAATTTATCCCTCTTTACTTTGTCGACCGCCCTACGGTTTGAAACTATGATTAAATAATGAGCTTCCGTAAATATTATTCCGATGTTGTTTGCGAAATAAAAAAAAGCTTCTTTGTTGGATATGAATCAATTCCACTGGGAGTGTAGAGATGGTATAACGTTAAGTATTCATGTTTTAATTAAATCCCGCCACATAAACGCCACCTCTCGTCGTGGTACGAAGTTTGGCAACATCGATGACTGAAAGCTGATGTCGATCTCTGCTTTCAGAGAATCTTAAAAGTGTCTTTGGACAGATGAATCCGCCCTAATTAGTGCGGAATCCTCAATTTAATGAATCCAATTGCCAGTGATTAATAAAACATGGATGATGGCAATTAAAATTCCATACGTTCTCAACTAACGCCTCAGCTGTTGGTTCAAGCGAAATGCACTGTGTTACAGCTCATAAAAGGAAAAGGAAGACAAAGATCGACAACCACTGCGCGTTAAAATGGCGTGAAGCCAACTATTCAAAGTTACGAGGATCTTTCAAGTAAATATGCCAGTGGTCTCTGTAGCAGAGAACACAGTGAATCGCAAGCGGAAACGCGTTATTACAATGCGGCTCCTGTCGACTTCAGAAAGAAAGGCCATGAGTATATTGGGTGCACCCTGTAGTCTGTAGTCTAGAAGACAACATACTGTATCAAGGGTTATCCGATAGTATACGTGCGTTTTGATGACGAAAATTTCCACAGCACTAGACTGCCGGCACGGTACGGTACAATATAATTCCATAACGTACCTACTAAGTGCCGGAAAATGTTCCCTGAAAAAGATATATAAGGGCTCGTTTACATCCAAGCAGATCCTCGATTCGAATTTGGGTTTAGTTCCTCCCATGAAATGTGTGTTGTCGTTTTTCTGATTTTTTGATTAAATGAAGATTTTGCTCTACCAACTTAATTTCGACTTTAATCAAAGATTAAAGAACAAACTGTCATGTAAAAGGCAAACTAGGTGACTATACGGCAGTGAGTATCATGAGAAAATGTTAAGGTTGTACTCAGGGACCCGAACCCAAATGAAATATCGGTACCGGTTCTGTTTATATTTAAGCGAAAATATTTATAACGGTTCCGGTCCGGTTTCGGTTGTTAAAAAATAGCGGTTCGGTTCAGAGCATTTTTTTCGGTCCATAACGGTTATTTTCGATTCTAGTCTTTTAGAAACCGATGGCAATTATAGAGCAATATTTTATCAATTTTCAGAACGTGTTTGCAGGCCAATAACCTGTTAAGAATCGTAAAAAGTCGAAAAGAACCGAAAAAATCATAAGGGTTCCGGTTCTCAATCAGTTTCCATTTTTAAAGGAATAACGATTTCGGTTCGGTTTTAGGTCCTGAAAAAAATACTGGTTTCGGTCCGGTTTTCGGTTCTTTTTTGGTCCGGTCCCGGTTCCTGGTTGTGCTGAATCCTTTCATAAAACAACCATGTGTAATTTGATCTTACATAGAGACATATTAATTTAAATTAATTTGAACGGTCCACTTGTACCGCTAACCAATCGCGAGGCTCGAAAGGCGACCAGTAAATTTAAGACATGAATTTTTTAATATACAACAATCAAAGCTGGCATGCAAACGAGAACCGTGCAGATTTATAAGCTGACATCAAAAATCCTTTATGTTGTCTATTCATTTCGTCTTGTTCTAATTAAATGTAATTGATCATTGTTACATAGAGAACGTAAAATTAACAACGACTGAACTTTCGAGCGCCCTTAATCAGATTTGGAATATGAAAGCTTCGACGTCGCTTCAAGCCTGCGTTAATGTAGTTTTTGATGCGGCAGTTCGACCTGAAACACCGAATTCAAGTTTTGTTATCGTAAATAGAACCACTATACCTGTCCAATCGAAATTTTCGTCATTCACGTACCCTCTTTCCTCGTACAGATCACTAAACAGTTTCCTTAAGTAGTCGTAGTCGGGCGTTTCAAAAAAATCTAATCTCTTAACGTATCTGAAGTATGTGGCCAACGCCTCGGGATATCCTTCGCATAATACCTCAATGGGGGTGGAGCGCTTCGTATCGCCAATTTTCTGGTACCTTTCTCTCAGCGTATCTGCCTTGAGCCCTTGCCACGGCAGTGATCCTCTTAGAAAATACATGAACATATGCCCTAAAGCTTCCAAATCGTCTCTACGAGACTGTTCTCTTCCCAAATGCGTATTAACGCTCATATATCGCGCCGTTCCAGTAAGTGATTTATGTTCCCGATATGGAATGTGCTTATTCGTATCGGCATCGATGTACTCCTTCGCTAAGCCGAAGTCGATTATGTGGATTAGTTTGTCCTTTTTCGTTCCTTGCCTTCCAATTAGAAAATTCTCCGGTTTCACGTCGCGGAAAATTAAACGTCTACTGTGAACGTATTCGATTCGCGTGATTAGCTGATCGGCGATCATTAAAACCGTTTTCAGTCTAAAACGCCGGTTGCACAGCGTGAAGAGGTCTTCCAAACTTGGACCTAGAAGTTCCAATACCAGTGCGTTGTACCGTCCACCGCAAGTGCCTAAGTGGTACACCTTCGGAATCCCTGAAAGATGAAATAGTATTGAGAGTTAGTTTCTGATTTGCTTGCTCGAAAAATCAAACACACGATCTCTTAATGACATTTCATTTTACAGATTTTATTATTTATGATTTTCTCTGTAAATTTCTAATTAACTAAATTAATTTTTGTGGCCACGGCTTTTTTAACTAACCTGAACTTAATAGTCAATCTAATATTAATCAATTCAATGAAATGTGATCGTAAATGGACCCACTCAATTAAAGGTTTTCTTTATTGGGATCGGAAAAAAACAACTCTCACTTTTTATCTATCAAATCCAATTCACGTGGGTGTTTAAATGGAAATGCAATAGAAAACTTGCTTCAGTTTCCCGTAGGCTGATCTCTTTAAGAAAGTACAAATTAATATTTTTCTTACTAAGATTCAGACCTTTAATCTTACATAAATGCAACGACGGTACCTCATATGAGACTTTCTCTTTGCAGGTGACGTGTAGATACAAAATCAGATTAAAATACGACCCTCCTTACAGCGACAATGACTCAAGAAGGATAAACAACGGAGCTGTCACTTAGAACTTTGCCGTTCAAAAAACTTATTCGGTGAATTTTCAAAATGATTTTTGAGCGTAATTTATTAACGGCGAATCCTGGAGTTTAAGAATTACACTAAGGTTAGTGTTAACGAGTTTTACAAGAAATCGAAACGTTTTTTATAATATTCCAAACCGGAGAGATCTTCATTATGTAACAATTTCACACTTAAATTTATCTTTACTGTTTTTTCTACTGCAGGACTACAATAATTTTACGACTACGAAGATATACTTCAATCCACTCCTTGGTTTGACAGGCAGCATACAACTACAATGACTTTTGAAGATTAGCTAGGTATGGTAACGAAATCATACTGGCGCGCTTAATTAGTTCGTCCTTGATCGCTACTGCTCCCCTTTATGAGACAGAAACACAACGATCACGTTTTCTTTTTTTCCTAACTACACGATAATCTCTTTTTTGTGGTGTAAGTTGGTGGTGGTGTACTATTTTTTTAATCCGTGTGGGTGTAGTGGCAGCACTTTAACATTCCTATTCATGAGCGTCGATCGAATGAGCTGTCAAGTTGCAGCAAGTATGGAGACTTCACTATATAATTAAAAATGCATCGTCGAAATGTATGTACGCGCATCACCTCAAAATGACTCCATCAAATTAGATGATTCTTTTTTTGTTGTATTTGTTATTGTCAGAACAGGGTTTGTATACCTAAAAGAGAATTTCTAAAATTGACGGAAATACGTAAAAAATCAATGTTTCCCTATTCCACCATTTTAAATCGCAACCACAAATTCAAGGCAGGAATACATTTCCCTGGCGCAGCGTGTCGTGATGCTTTTCATTTCAAGTTTTGAAACTCTGCAGGTTTGCAGGTTTGGATGTCCAGAACTAAAATTCACAAAATGCACAATCCGAGACATGCCGCCGGCGCCGCCATCTTGCTAAGATGGCGCCCAAAAAGTCGGTAGCAAAAAGTAAATTTAATTTGGCATCCTTACCACCGATAAGCGCAGCTGCACGACAGCATTCATTGAGAACATACTATCAGGTTCAACTATGGCGTGGCTGTCCGAAAATAGATAAAGAATAGGGTGGGAAGAAAACTCAAACTGGCCTTACTCCAGTAACTACTTTAAAAGATCCTGCTTCCAAAACACTACTTGCTTTTTTATCTTGAAAGTGCAAGGCGGCTTATGGTAGAGCCTGCGAATGCAGGAAAGCAGGATTGAGATGTTCAATGATTTGCGGTGTCTACAATGGGAAGACTTGTGAAAATATCAGCCAAGTGACACTGGACGAATCCGATGAAGAAGACCTCCATTCGCGGCTTGGCGATTCTTTATCGACTGCAGAAGGACAGTCTGACGAGTTGAAGGAAATCAACATTGATTCTGAAGCTGAGGTAACCTTTTTCCCCGTTGTAGATATGGAAATCAACGAGTAAGGTCCGTCTGGCCTTTGCCAAAGATAATTTTAGTACCTAAGTGGATTAGGCCTACAGGGGAAACCACGTTAAAAAAAACGCGCCGTGTACTTTACCTCTTGGGTGGTGTGGAAACAAGTATAGCATTTTAAATCGAAATTAAATGATCATAAATTATTAACATGGATTAATTAATGAATTAATCGATTAATTGAATAAAAGATATGCCATTGTTTCGTGATAAATATTTGCTACGAAACTTCCTCCTCTTTTATTTTGCGCTCTACATACTTTTTCGAAAAACGCATAGTTTTGGAGATATTTGCAAAAAACCGTTTTTGGGCGCCATCTTGGCAAGATGGCGGCGCCGGCGGCATGTCTCGGATTGTGGATTTTGTGAATTTTAGTTCTAAACCCCAAAACCTATAAACCTACAAAGTTTCAAAACTTCTGGACTTATTTCCAGACAAAAATCCTCAATGACTGGCCTATTTAGATTTGCGTTGTGTTGAGTAGCGTCACGTCACGTTGCAAGAAGGTATGTTCCTGCCTTAATACATGGCGCCAAAGACTACTATGGCTCTAGAAGAATCAAAACGGTCGACTTCGGGCGAAAGGCGAAAAAATTGGTCAAACTTATATCAATTACGTAAACTCGCGAAAGTTTCTGGTGTAGTAAAACACTTTCCGAAATTCCCACGGGAACGGGAGTAGCAAAAACAGGATTTTATGTTTTACAGTCCAAAAAAACGTTTAGAACGTAGGTTTCTTTGAAAGCGTTAAAGTGTACTCCGAAAGAAGCTTCCCGAAATTCCCGAGTACGAAAAAAAAGGGATTTCCCAAAGGCGATACGAGGTTCGCCCGGACTGCAACTTTCAAATATAATCCATTGCAGGTTTTTTTAAAAAGCACCAGTCGGCTTGAAAAATTGAACTTAAGATCGGGTTAGGAAAAACATTATTGAGCCTTTCATTTGCGTATGAAATACGGTCAGAACTGTATACTTCACCCACAGTGTTCTGCATTTCACAGTTGGAAAATGTTCAGGGAAGCTACGTATGTACCTACCATCGGTCTGTCCTAGAATTTTATAAAACCGAAACTCCAAATGCAATTGAGGCGCCTTCGTCTTAATAGGTTCCATCTTAATAGCAACATGCTCGTTATTGTAAAGGTTTTTTCCCAGCCGCAATTCGCCAAAATTCCCACTGCCAATTTTCCTTCCGACCCTGTAATTTGGTCCTACCATCAGGATACCCGAACTGGACGCAGGTGGCGATTGCATATGTGAGGTGGTGGGTAAAGCGCAAGACGAGTTCGGTTCTAGGTTGTCGTTCTAGAAAAATGCCCTATTTTACCATAACGTATACCGCCCTAAAGAGTACAGCTACCTTTGGTAAATGTTCGCTATCTTTACCTATTACAATGTTTCCATTTGTAAATACTTTCCTCCAAATGTTCATTGTAACGTGGGGGTGAGAGATTGTCGATTATACCTTAAAAAGACCGTCCAATTAAGTATTGGGCAGCCTATTAGTTACGAACTTACATCATTGTGTAAATAGGTTACTGAAAATTTTGACTCTGACGTTGTTAGATATAATATTTGACATCTACTAACCAAGATTTCGTCTTATTAGATTAAAACTTTAATTAAATCATGCAATTAGTACCTACCTACCTAAATTTGATGCTCAAACTCAAACCAATGTACTACGTAGCCGAGATCTCTAATAAATGAAGTTAGTTTACTTTGAGATTTAAGACATTCGATACTGGTAGAGTAGAAAATGGGGGTTAAAATAATTGTCTGTTTGTTTGCCTTATATGTTGCGCGTTTGATAAAAAGACGTAGGCTCAATCCCATCACACCTTTCCACAAAAGCTTTATCCTGAAAGTGTTACGTATACAAGTATTCGCATTCTGTCAAGCAGTGAGATTGTCAGGTTGTTGGATCAGGTTGCTTTACGAAGGCGATTTTAAACTCAAAATTTAGTATGACCACGACTTTCAGTTATAGCCACGTACGTATAAAAAACGTGTTTTTTTATACGTACGTCAAATATCATTTCGCTGATCATATTCAAACAGCGAAGTGTTGTTTCGTTGCTAGGAGCAGAGAAGCGGAAAAAAGACCGAGAAAGTTTACTTCTCTGCCTCCTTTTCACTAATCTGCCTCTTTTGATTTTTGTATCTGTGTTGACTAGCCATTTATATACAAACAATTCCATCATACTAATACAAAAAATTTAGTGTTTACCACGGACGAGTGAGATCCGCTGGCTTGTCAGCGAAAACTCGCTTCTCGTTCTTGGTAAACAATATACTATTAAATGAATCTTAGAAACGGTTTAAAATGTCAGTTATAAAAACATTTAAGATAATTCCCACTTTCTGGTTTACATGCAGAATGTTGTTTAATATTGAGTTTAAGGCCGAAAGGTTACATATTGTCAAGTAGTGAGCTAGGAATAGTTTTGAAATTGGGCCTTCCAAAAACCCCAGAAATGGCGACCGGAGGGGGTGCGTAACGGGTCGCCATTTTGGATTAGTCACATTTATCGGTTTTTTGTCTCGAAAACTATCAACTTTTTCATAAGCACATAAAACGTCATTAAATTTCCTACAAAAAACGCATAACAAGTTTTTTTCCGACTATAACCACTTGAGAAGTATAAGCAGAAAATTTGCTTCAACGCGTAGCATTGCAATTTATTGGGTATTAGTAGCCTTTTCTCTTCCATACTTCTGGCGTTTACTCTGAACCAGCGTCTGTGAGTTCCACCACGGTGAAGCAGTATTTTATTTTCTGATAAGTTTTTATTTTAAATATTAGTGAAAATTGAAAAGACAAGTTGTACTAAGTGTTTTGATTGTGATGGATAGGTTCAGAAGAGTGAAGGAGATAAAGTAAATGTTGGTGTGAAGGGGCTGAAAGTTTTAAAAGAGGCTAGTTTGCGTAGGAAGCATGGCTGTGCATGTCTCCTGCAAAAAAACTACACAAGGTAGATTTTTGTTGAGGTACCCCAGAAGAAACGAATCGAGTAAAAAATTTCCTTTGAACTTCGGATCGCAACTTTGTTGAGCTCAAAAGGGCGCGTTCATCCTAATCTGTAACAAACAACAGAAATAAATAAAAGGGATAGTGAATCGCGCGGCACATAAAATATTGCGTAAGCAATTCTTACGTCTGACACTGATCAGATACTCGTATGCTAAACCGTATGTAATACTCAATATGAATCAATAATTTTTACTTTTGTGAACTAACCAAAAGCAAAATTAGACGCGATTACGATTGTCCGTTCAATATCCATATAAAAGTATAAACCTGACGTTCAATTAAAAAAAAAACTTACTTTAAGATGCAAGTTTCTATTCAAAGCAATGTAATTTAGCTATTTCGGAAAGTTAATAAGATAGTAAGAACAAATTCTTCGGTGTAAAACAAGTAATACGTAACTAAAAATTGTAGATACCGGCATCGGGCAAAGTCTCGGCAAGTTCAAAAACTAATTTACAAAGCAACGGCAGCTTCTATCTCAAATATCACAGCTAATCTGTGTAATGTAATCAAAATGAAATAAAGGTTCGTAGTAATCAGAAAGTAAGCTCTCGGTATCCGTAAGGTCAAATCTTCGGTACGACAAAAACAAAGTATGTAGTATCAGGTATATCGCAGCAATTTATAAGAGTAATAATCTCTAAGGTTTCGTAATTACTTGCAGTTATAGGAACTATCTTCAGGTATAAACAACTTCGAAGTAAATAGATCACCAATTAACTGTAGAAATGCGTTTTCCATGAGAAAGTCATAGTCAAAAGGAATGCGTAATTTTTGGTACATATCGAAAACGGCCTTAGAACTTGTAAAATATATCCAAAATTCGTCAGCGAAGTGTCGATAGCAAAAATGCAAGAGAAAAACTTCACTAAAATACAGCCACAATAAACCCCAAAATGGCAGACAAAGATTGTCGAGTAACAACTATGGCGTGTACGTTCTTATACAAGCAAAGGTTGAATGTCGTTTTGTACAAAGAAGTGCGTGCGCGGAAAAGAATTTTAAAAAAATCTCTGCACGACCTCGGATGGCAAAACAAAGAACTAATAATCTATAACAGTTTTACTACTACAGATGACGTAAGAATATCAAATACGTATACATTAAAGCACAAAACGAAGGTTACTTAGGCCCGGTTGTATAATGTCAGTTTAAACTTCAGTTTAAAGTTGAATTGTGGGTTAAAGGATTTGATTGGTTAATATTTCACAAGTTGGCCAATCGTATTTCTGAAATCCGTCAGTTAAACCAACCTGAAGTTTAACCTGACATTGTACAACCGGGCCTTAAGCGTAATGTAAGTCAGGAGTATCAGTCGGTAAGGAAATAAAGTTACATACGTCTGGCTAACTGCCACGATTTCGTAGCAAGTGCGGCAATATTCCATCAAAATGACTACCTGTCATTCTTCACACACCCCTCCCGTCAGTCTAAAAAAGGTGGCTATATCGAAGACGCCATGGAAGATATTTGTAAAGTAACAAGTACTGCCATTTTTCCTTCGAAGAGATCGTGGACCAAATTAGAGTAGAGTATATTTTTATTTTCACTATATATACAGTACATGCAGTGAGTCCGCATATATACATGGAAAATATGTCAACAGTTACAATATAATGTAAAATAATAAAACGGTACAAACAAATACGATACAATTATAAAATTTATAGAAGATTACAGTATGCAGTTATAATGTAAGGTCTGCGACAACGCCATATTATGTAAAGAATTCATTAATGGAATAATATTCAGCATTAACTAAGAAGGACTTTAAGGTGTTTTTGAACTTATTGATATTATTTATGTTTTTTAGATCGGTTGGCAAGCAATTGAAAAATTAGAAATTGATTCAGAAATATGGGGACAGCGTAATCATCACTCAAACTCAGAAAAGAATAACAGTTGTGTTGTTCAGAGGAAAGGGAGACAAAATCCCTAATTGAGGCATGGTACACTTATAAACAATCAACATCTGAAGCGAACCGAGTGCGAGTAGTACAGACAGTAGCAGCTATAATAAAGGAAGATATTAACAGAAACATTCCTGCAACATTGCTGAAATGGTTACACTTTCTGTTTTCACCAAAGGAAGATACTGCTGAAAACAAACAAAAAATCCCAGGTAACAGTCATCTAGATGAAAAGCGCTCAGTTTACCGGAATCGTTCCTAGTTCTGAGAAGCTCAAGGTGGTATCTTCTAACGTTTTGTGGCTGTTAGCAAAATGGCTGGATCACCGCATTTCTGGATGGAAAGCTTTTATGTTGCTACAATGAGGTGTGAAGGAAGCGCCACTATTCTGTCTAACTATTGTGATGATAGTGGCCGTTGAACACTGTTGAACAGTAACCCAAGACACTTGTATTATAACCTTTTACCAGTCGCAGTTGTTATGCACAGTTTACGCGTCCCTTTCTGTCGACAAACTGCTCCTAAGACACGCCTATACTGCGAGAGGAATATGACAATCTGCAGAAAGAATATCGGAGGTACAAGAACCGGGGGTTGTAACAGCGAGGCCAAAGTAAAAGCCAGCATCCTGGTATCATATGAAAAGTTAGCGCAGTTAATAGAAACGTCTGCGTCTGCGTCAGGGTTTGTACCTGGAGCAGGTTGTAGTGGGGTTAGACGTGGACCTGCTGGTTTTTCTAGTTGGTATTACTTCGTCCCACACAAATATTCATTTTTGCAAGTCCGTCACTCAAAGTACCGCCCAAATTATATTCATAAAATCAACCCCAGCCCTCATTCCTTAGGGAAAGCGTTTTATTTTTACATCCTTTTTCTGGATACGACACTACTTCAGCGAGATACAACCATGAGAAAATTAAAATAATGAAAAGGGTTCACAAAAATCCTCAGCTTTTACAAATTCTACTCCTGTTTTACAACCCAACCACCACACCAAAGGTTCTACCTGAAGGTGCCGAGAAAATGCTCTTGACATTGTACGAAGCTCCCTCCACCATGACTTCAATAAACGCTTTCCGACATCCCTGATTAAAGACACCCTTTTCAATAGAGCTTTGGCCGTTTCATGAGAGAGGGGGAGGTACTGAGGGGGGTCTTACTCGACTCGAAATGTGCAATGTACGGTCAAATGTGATCAAATCATTGGAGGAGTTAGCACACCCAAAATTGCTTGTCCTCTATCTTTGTTTGGAGCAAGTGAACAATCGAACCGTGAATTACGTCACATAAAACATCCCCCCGGCTATTTTATTTACCTACACCATCTAGATTATTCTAAACGGATTTGTATTAATCTGATCACGTTAATGGATCTAATGGATCTCTAGCACTAAAATATCCTATTTTTATTGAAAATAATATTCTACATTTATCGGTTTTCACGGTATCTGCTCGCTATTCAGAGCATGACATTATATTCCTCGTTTTATAAGGCTATCAGGAATTGGAAACGCGAGGTTTACGGGATCTAAATAAAGCTAAAAGTTACTGGAACATAAAAATTTCCAGACAAGGGAAATATTTAGAAGTTAATTGTAGAGTTGGAATGTACGCGGCATGTAAAATTCATTATGCAAAGTTTTGAAAGAGAGGGTCAAGTACTTCTTAACATTTATTAAACGTTTTTACGAGATGTTGAGGCACGGAACCGGCGCATGTAAGTAGTTGCCCCGCACATAAAAGCTCCGTAGCGCAATAATAGTTTCGGTAAAAGGGAAAACCGCAGATTTTATCGTGCCTATTTGTTTCGACGGACATAAATTTCGGTTACCTAAAGTAAGAGGTGAAGTTTTGTACAAGTTTTCAGGGTACACTTGCGGCTTTTGGACGAACGCCAAAACTTTTTCAAGTTGCCACCCCAATTGTAGCTTTCGCTCGTATATCAATTTAAATGACCTGTTTTTGTTTAGGTCGTTTTTAACCCATTAACGGCCCAATTGATAATGTTATAAATTGGGTGGGCGTTATATTCTTGTGTACTTTATTACTATTTTCTCGATATACACACACCAGATGATACACCTCTCAGAACTCCTGTATCAAAGACGCACCCTGTCGGCATCATTAAGGGGCCGAAGATGATCATTTATTTATTAAATGCAATAATAGAGATTTTATCATCCATTTGCATACACTTTTTGTATTTCCATTGAAGAAAAGTGTGCATATTTCAACTTCTGAGGGTTTTCCGACATTCTTGAGGAATGATAACGAAAATGTTCGGTCGCGTATTATGAATGCAAAACATTCGCACTGTATTCACACTTGAAAATAAATCAGCCAGCCTGTTGATTCCTCTACACAACGAAGTTTCCCTTTTGCATACATATATTAGTGTCAATATTGTAAGCGCAATGGATTTAAGTTCACCCACGACAATAATTTCGTTAAATTGATTACACAGTTTTCCTTTGTAATTCGGCAATTAACTTCAACTTTCGCGATAAAAAATCCCACGTAAGATTACGCGACTGTTAAATTTTCTGTAGACCTCAATTATACGAACCAGCCTTGAGAGTTTCAGCTGAATATAAATGTTATGCGATCGAAAATGCCGCGCTCAATTTACATAGTTCGCCTTGATGGTTCAGCGAAGAATCTCTCTCTTCCTCCCAACTTTTCCTAATGTAGTCGCCAAGTCGCCGGGTTGTGAGGCGCAGTGGCGTGGATGTCCAACTGCGGCACTAAGGGTCCCTGGTTCGAATCCGGATTCGAGCATGGATATTTGTAAATGTATAGAGGGGGTGGGGTGGTAGAGCAGCCTTGGTTTAAACCCCGTGTGGTGTATGCGCTAGTGCTATTTCTTAAGTTGGCAATAGCGTGTCATGGAGACCGCATGTAAATAAAGTAGTTATTCACCTCAACAGTCTTTGAATTACGATACCCACGTGTTACACCTTAAAATATCCACCCAGCGTGTGAGAAGATATAAAACTGGCGACGAGGATGGGATAAGGAAGTGCGTTTTGTGACAATTTACTGTTTACTTGTGTTTCCAGAATTCGCGAGTAACAAAAACGATGGCTTCCCTGGGTAGCATCGAACATTTTTCAATAAGTGATCCTAAACAATGGGAATCTTATGTGGAAAGAATGGAATTCTTTTTCACGGCAAATGGGATTGCGGATGCAAGTAAGAAACGCGCGACATTTTTGAGCCTATGCGGCCCAGAAACGTACGAAATTCTTAGGTCATTGGTCGCGCCGGCGAAAGTCGCTGATAAAACGTACGGGGAAATTATAAAGGAATTAGGTACACATTTCTCTCCGAAGACATCGGAGATTGTTTACCGTTTCAAATTCTACAGACGGGATCAACAAAATGGGGAGACATTCCCCGTATACCTTAAGGAATTACGTAAATTGGCCGAACCGTGCGGATTTGAGGCTACTTTAGACACAATGTTACGTGACAGAATAGTTTGTGGAATAATCGATGAGACATTACAGAAAAGATTACTTGCTACCACCGATTTAAAATTAGCGGATGTAACAAAAATGTGCGTAGCTCACGAAACTGCTACGACCAGTTTTGCAATGATTCGCGAAGGGGGCAGCGGCGATCGAGTGGAGGTTAATGCCCTTAATTCACGCAAGCAAGTAAAATCAGCTGATCGCGCGAGCAGACCGGGGCGCGTTGGGAAAAAGTGTTTTCGATGTGAAAAAGACCACGCTGCAGACTCGTGCGTTCACAGTCAATCAACTTGTAGTTACTGTAAAAAATTAGGACATATCGCAATCGCGTGTTTCAAAAAGAAAAGAGAAAGCCAAAACAAACTTAAAGTGCACATTGCAAATGACAGCGACACTTACACGGAGGAGCCGGAAATTTCTCCGGACCCGAATTGCGTTAATAGTGATTACGTTTTTTCAATAAATAACGTAACGCCTGACAAATTTTCCGGTAAATATTTAACAGCCGTTTCAGTCAACGGGATACAGACAAAAATGGAAGTGGATTCGGGCGCTGGCTATTCGATTATAGGCCGATCGTTGTTCCAAAAAATCTCGAACGGGAATCACCTGAAATTGAAGAAGAGTCATGTTATCTTAAGAGACTACCAAAACAACCCGATACCAACAGTGGGAGAATGTTTGGTGGAGGTGCGTCGAGGTTCACGGAGGTCAACCCTTCCGTTAATCATCACCGAAGGAAACCGCCCGAGTCTTTTAGGCAGAAACTGGTTCCAAGAGCTGGGTCTAACTGTTTCCGGGGTAAGTCACGTTGACGGTACTCCTAATTACGCACGCGAATATCCTGAGGTATTTTGCGGGAATTTGGGCGCATACCGGGGGCCTCCAGTAAGTTTTTCGGTAGACGCGTCTGTGAAGCCGATTCTATTGCGAGCGCGTAAGGTTCCTTTCGCTCTAAAGGACAAAATAGAGAGGGAACTGGACAAACTGATAAGTCAAGGAGTGCTAGAACCAATCTCATATCCAAGGTGGGGCACCCCTATCGTTACCGTTTGCAAGGGCAATGGGGAGGTGCGAATTTGCGGAGATTACAGGTCCACACTTAACCGCGCATTACGTCCTGAACCGTACCCGGTGCCGTCGGTACAAGGAATTTTATCCGCGCTCGCTGGCGGGAAAGTGTTCGCTAAATTGGATTTAGCCCAGGCTTACCTACAGTTGAGTGTCGATCGCGAGGCTGCGGAAGCACAGACAATAATAACGCATAAGGGGGTTTTTAAATGCAATCGTTTGCAATTCGGAATTTCCGTCGCGCCTCAGATATTCCAAAAATTCATGGACATGAGACTGGCGGGTATCTCGGGAGTGTTACCGTACTACGACGACATACTAGTCGTGGGAAGTTCCGATGACGATTTAGACACTAAAGTGCGCACGGTACTGTCGAAATTTCGTGAAGACGGGCTACAATTGCGCCGGGAAAAATGTATTTTTCGTACAAAATCCATTGAATTCCTCGGGTTTAGAATAAGCGAAGACGGTATTCGCCCAACGAAAGATAAAATCGCGGCAATAGTAAACGCGCCTCCTCCAACTAATGTGACAGAATTACAAGCATTTTTGGGGTTGGTCAATTTTTATCACGTGTTCATGAAGGACAAAGCGACCATCGCTAAACCTTTACATGCGTTACTTCAAAAGAACGCTCAATGGCAATGGCGAACGTCAGAACGAGAGGCTTTCCAAGCTTTAAAGGATTGCTTAATCAGGGAGCCCGTGCTGGCTCACTACAATGACCGGAGAAACTTATTTTTGACTTGCGACGCGAGTCCGTATGGGGTAGGTTGCGTTCTTAGTCAGTTGGACGACCGGGGGCGAGACGTTCCAGTAGCGTATCACAGCCGTTCTTTGTCGTCAGCTGAGAGGAAATACGCTCAAATCGACAAGGAGGCACTCGCTATCATCACGGGTGTTAAAAAGTTTCACGAATACATCTACGGCCGAGGGGTGACAATAACAACGGACCACAAACCTTTATTGGGAGTCTTCAATCCGAAGAAGGGGGTTCCAGACATTCTATCACCTAGGATGCTAAGATGGACACTAATGCTATCTGCGTACGACTACGAACTAAGGTACGTGCCAGGAGCTAAGATCCAGAATGCGGACGCATTAAGCAGACTGCCCCAAAAAATCAAGGTTCCAGAACCTCCGCCATCTGAAGACGTCTTAATGCTGGAAAACATTCCAGAAAAGCTAATCAGCGCCAGAGAAATTGCCCAGGAAACCAAACGAGATCCTGTTTTATCAAGGGTTATGCAGTGGATCTGGAAGGGATGGCCTGACAACGGGAAAAAATTGCCAGACGAATTTACTCCTTACTTACAACGCAAACATGAGCTAAATTGCTACCAAGATTGTCTCCTGTGGGGCACCAGGGTTATCGTTCCACTAGGGGTGAGGGACACGGTGCTAAAAATGCTCCATTCAGCTCACCCAGGTATCGTCAAGATGAAATCTCTCGCGCGTTCGTACGTATGGTGGCCGAATATTGACAAGCAAATTGAGAAGCTGGTTGGGTTGTGTAAAGAATGCCAAGAAACGAGAAACATGCCGAGGAAGTCGTCTATTCATCCTTGGGAGTGGGCTAGAGCTCCGTGGTCGCGTATCCACATTGATCACGCCGGACCAATGAAAGGAAAACTTTTTCTGGTAGTGACCGACGCCTATTCCAAATGGCTCGAGGTAAAACTAGTGCCAAATACCTCGAGTGCTGTTACAATCGGGGTGCTACGAGAATTGTTCGCCACCCACGGCATACCGGATGTTGTCGTATCCGACAATGGAACGAGTTTCAGCTCTTCCGAATTTAAGCAGTTCCTGAAAAACAACATGATTCGACAAGCTTTAGTGGCACCATACCATCCGAGCAGTAATGGGCAAGCGGAAAGAATGGTGCAAAATGTAAAAAACGCTATCCGGAAAATGACCGAGGGAACAGCAGAAGGAAATCTACAGTTGGCTTAAGCAGATACTTATTAGCCCAACACATTACACCACACTGCACAACAGGCCGATCACCGGCGGAGATCTTGATGGGGCGTAAGCTAAACACCGTCTATGATCGTATGCAGCCTGATTTCCGTAAGGAAATGATGGACAAACAAGAAGACGAATGTCCAATCCCAGGGAAAGATCGAGTGTTCCAAGATGGAGATGCAGTTTTCGCAAGGTCATTCACACCAGGATCAAAATGGCTGCCAGCACAAGTCGTGAGTACTACGGGACCCGTCAGTTACCGGGTACAAACACCAGATGGGCAAACATTACGCCGCCATTCCGACCAAATTAGGGCTCGGGTAGAAGAACCGACCGAAAGTTTGGGAGCACTGGGTGATCCCGAAATTCCACCGACAACACCAGAAGCTGCCAACTGCAGCGAACCGCAGCAGCAGGACAACGGGAATAGCCAAGTCGTGGAGATCAAGAAGCCCCCAGAAAGATCGAGGCGGGCTCCAAAATACTTGGAAGATTTCGTGCCGTAGTTTCAATCCGGGGGGAAGGAGTGTGGTGTATGCGCTAGTGCTATTTCTTAAGTTGGCAATAGCGTGTCATGGAGACCGCATGTAAATAAAGTAGTTATTCACCTCAACAGTCTTTGAATTACGATACCCACGTGTTACACCTTAAAATATCCACCCAGCGTGTGAGAAGATATAAAACCCCGCCAATTCAAAAATAAAGGCAAAATAAAATTCGACAAAAAATAAAATAACGTCCCTCGAGATTTTCGAAAAGCCATTCCAACGACCCTTAATACCTCATCTAAAATGTCACCATTCGAATCTTCTTCTCAGATAAGACTGCTTTCAAATTAAGGCTCCCCTATCTTAAATAAATTAGTGAAATTGGGCTAGTTTCTTCTGATTACTGTTCAGAATGGCTTTGGCTTGCCACAAAAGAAAATTTAAAACGATATATAAGATGATTTTATGATTCTATTAAATTATTTTGACACTTAATTTCAGGTACGCTATCACACACATATTTGCTAACGCGTACAAAACAGTTGGACGAATAGCTAAATGAGTTACAGCACCCCAGGGCTCATAAACGCGATGGAATTCTCATCATTACAAGCTCGAATATCCACGTTGTACCGCTTATATTAACGTATCACAAAGTAATTTGTTACGAAAAGGAATGCGAGTACAGATACTCGCCTCTCGGATATTTCGAAAAAAAATCCATAATTTAAAGTTTACGATTCCTGTTAGATAGTATTATGTGCACCCTAGAGGTTTAACTTGCAATAAAGGGATGTTATTAAAGGGGAAGGACTACATGAGATATATACTAAACATTTTCATTTTATCGAAATCTCACGTATAAATTTCTATTCTGTTACAGCCCCTTTAAACGTAGTCAACATTGATGAAATTCCGGAAACTGAAGAGGTAGTTGAAGATGACGACTTCACAACGCATACGTTGGACAGACTGAGTTCTGCAGCTACGTGTCTCGTTGCCGGAGTCGAATACACTCATGGACAACAGGTTGGTTTTATTTTTTTAATTGAAACAGCCACTCCTTTGAAATTTCGGTATTTCGTAATTTTCGACGATTTAAAAAATTTGTAAAGGGGGTGGTTAAAGAATTTTAATTAACAATCCGACTGACTTTGTATTATTTATAAACCTTTGATTCAGACGGAATGCTAAGTATTTGTGTTAGCAATTACTTCTTTATTCGTGCACACGTTTTTTTGTTATAATTAAGCTTTCTGCGTACAGGGTTTTCAATCCATTTGTAAATAAACGTCTTTGCGTTTAATTACACAAATAAATCTCTTTTGGAACGGATGAGGCTTTCCAATAGCATTGTATTTAGCCCCACTTAAAAAGCATTTTCTTTATTCACACTTACTATTTGTAGGTTCACAGATATAACAACTATAAATTTAATATTTCACACTAACTAACTGTGAATTTACAGTTGCTAATGACTAGTTAGCGAATTCACAGTTGTTATATCTGTTAATTTTTGTTCCCTAGATCGATTCCTTTAGGAATATTGAAATTATTTCGAACAAAATTCCTAAATATAATCAACCACTACTTTATACAAATCAACAAAATTAAAATACCTTATAGTAATTGACGTGGATGAAATTCTCCTCACTCCGGAAAATGTCACTCCCTTTAAAAATATATCAAGCCCTTGGATGGTACGGTTGATGAATGATGAATTTACTAACAAGGTTTTATAACTTTGCTAAGAATTCAATTTTGGCGCACTTAAAATAGTAAGCGATGATTCGCGAAAATCAACTCAGAATGGATCCTCTAACGGTAGAAAAAATTATAATTTCAAACAGGTCCAAGATTGGGCTACTAGTTCAAAAGTTACAGCCCTTTGAATTTTCATTCGAAATTGGTTTCTAGTCTATAACTTTTGATTGAGTAGTCTGATCGAAAAAGTACGAATTGTTTTGGATTGTACGCACCAAAATTAATTAGAAAAGATGTTTTCCCGAAAAATTTTGGTGCGGTCGATCTTTGGTAAAAAATGCAGTCGATTTTTGGTAAAAGAGGAAGGTTATACACTGCCCTTTTTTGAAGCCCGAACGCACAACCAGTATACGCGATCGCTCTCAAATTCGTCTTCTAATCTAAGTTTTAGCGCACCCAAAAGGTACTTTTCAACTCGCGAACTCAAGGAATAATCTCCAGCTCTCCCACTTCTTTCGCCATTCCACAAAAAAATCAACGGTATCATTAATGAAATTGAAAGAAAGAAAATTCAGGGTTATTCAAGTAAAACTCTGTTGACGCTGTAACTTAATCTATTCTCAGTCACAGCTAGGAAGATAAATAACTTAACTTACTGAATTACCTTGCCTTAACTTCAACGACAAAGGCAAAAGATAAATTAAAATGCACTTTACAGTTGATTTGCCAGTAGCAACTTCTATTTTTACTGTAACCAATTGCAGAGCAATTCGTCACTATGGTAGCAAAAACGTACAGCAACGGAACGAGACACGACAAAGGCTATTACAGTCTACCTGAACCTTGGACAGCTGTTACGATAGTTCATACGTGCATTGCAGAACATCTGATCGTAAATACAAAGTGTTAAATGAGTTCCAGTAAATCATAGATTCGTGATCTCGTTTAACATTTCATAAGAAAACAGCACATCATCGACAGGAGTAGATAATGCTGGCTACACAAAAGATACATCAAAGAACCAATTAATTAAAACTTACGTACTCCATTAATAAATAGGTTTCGGATTGCGATATAGGTTTCATGTCTTTGTTTCTGGTCTGTGCAATTCAAACACTGCTTAAATTCTTTTATTTTGTCTTTGTTCCTTTTTGAACTAGTTTCTGAATGTATGTATGGAGCATTCTGCTTACCTACTCCCCACACACCCCTCAAAAATCTACATACAAGGTGGCCGCAAGATGCCTGACGTCGGACATTTTTTAATTCACTATGCTGGTCTGTCAATGTTTTAATTGAATGTGTTTTCACGTCAACATCCTTACAAGATTTCATTACTGAAGGTACCTATGAGAGTTACGATTACTTCCGACTGTTTCAAATCAAAAGGAGTCAGAAGATTATGGCCATGTAAACACGTTTATCTATAAAAGTAAATTGCGCGTATACTTCGAGTTTTCAAACGAAACAGTCATTTTATGACGTATTTCAAGCCATATCGGTTTTTGCAGTGTACAATGATAAATTGTATTCTAAAATTCTCCCTTATCGACCGTTAGTTTCGTTTCAGCTTGTACGCCTCGTCGCTTTATGCAACAATTCAAACGATAACATTTCTACGACTTCAATTTTGTATTACCATTTTTATTTTTTCGATGCAGTGGAGAATAATAAAATAATTCCTATTGTGCTGCAAATAAAAGGCGTAGCAACTTTTATCCTTACATAAATTTTTTATTGACGACAACGCGAACGGGGAATTTTCTTTAAAGGTTATGAATTGTAAATTTAAAGAGTTTTATAGAGACGGTTTTGCGTAGTTTGTCCGAAATAATTCGTGTAAATCCAACGTTTTAATGGAAAGTCCGTGGAAATGGATTTATTCACGGTCAGCTGCATGTTGGAGTCGATTTAATAAAGTAATGTGTTTAAGGGGATCAAATAAATGAGTCTTTTGCATTTTTCGGAAACCTGGTGCATCACCTGTGCCATCGTTTCTCGATTAATAAACTTCCAAAGAAATTAACTTTTGAATCGGTACTTTTAACCGTGAGCTTCAAATGGCAAAGAGTCTTGGAACAGATATAACCAATTCTCTCATCACTGAATCGCGTTAGTGGTGGTGGTTCCATTAAATATCAACCTTCCCGAGTATGAAAAAATGACAATAGTATTATTGTATCTTGAATATTTTCCTAACCGTATTCTTTGCTGTTACCTCCAGACAATTCGATGACTTTCCCAATCATGACATGTACTTAAGCTTTATCCAGCTTTTCGCAGAGTAACTTTCTACAATTTGCCTTCTTTGGAACTTGCCTGAATAAAATACTGCAGTTAATCCCCATCCTCCTCCTCCATGTCAGAATCCTCATTAAATTGACTATATGTATTACACAAACCCAGCCATCCCTTCAAATCGCCAACATATTGACGAAGTTCTAGCTTGGGGATTTTCAAACTTGAAACGGAATTTTTATACTGAAAGATTAAATTGTTAAAACGGAATTTTATTGAATTGAAAGCTTAAATTATCAATTAAATCTACCTCGGTATCAATAGTGTCATCATAGTGTCATCATCGTCTGAATCTAACATCATATCCAACAGAAGTTGATTCAGTTCGATAATTTGCTGCTGTACGTGACGCTGTTAAGCCCCCCAGGTACGATCATGAAATTAATTAAAATGGCTAGAGGGCGCCTTAATGAAGTGTTATCAACAAAAAAATTTGCCGGAGAAGTCCGAAATTTTGCTCAATCTTGATTAGAAGTTCACTTTATTTCGTCGAAGTCTGTGGTTATGTTACTTATTTTTCTTCATTCTTAAGTTGGTGAAACAATATGATCGTGTGTGTCAGCTGAAAAAAGGTTATGTTAACTTCTTTCTCATCGACATATAGAGATGGACTGCGTGTGCCAATGCTAAGCGCGGATACTACAGGTGAGAGAGCATGGAAAACTGAGAGGCCAGATAGCTGTCTCTATCGCGTGTCGGTTGGTCGCATTAAATATTAAATCGGCATTGATGTGGGAGTGCTTGTATGTGATGGTGTGATAGAGAGAGCTTGCCTCTTAGTTTTCCCTTCTCTCTCATATGCAGTATCCGCGCTTAGCTTTGGCACGCGCAGTCCATCTCGATGTTCTTTCTCTACTAAATTGAAATATGCTGAGTTTAACGTGTGTATTAACAGTTAATGTAATAAAAGTAGTGTAATATAGGTATAATATACAAACAATTTTAGGTTTAGTTCGACCTATACACAAAATAAGCGCATTTCCATGTCACATGTGAGTACATTTTAATAAAACCACTTTTGGAAACGCATACAGTATAAACTTGAATGTCTTAGGCAAGAAGAATGTCGTAGAGAGGGTTATATTTTGCATCTGGCAAGGATCGCATTTTCCGTATCGGCTACCGAGAGGGGAAACCTTATCAGTTGAAAGGGGAAGGCGCATCTTTCGCATCTTCCATAGACCGCCACTTTGATAGCCACCGCCGATTACCTTCGGGCGTCAACCGGTGACCTCCTCATCACTCGACAGGGGAAGGCACATCTTAATGTACACATGAATTATGTAAAACACGTAGAGAACTATTTACTATTATGGTATAATTAGAAACACATATATAGCTATACATCATTTTTTTAACGTTTATTAAATCGTGGAAAAATAACATAACCTCTCAGGAAATTGAAGTTGGAATGTTGATCAAAATCTTACAAACTTAAAAGTAATCACGAAATATTAGTAACATAACCTAAAATTTCGACGAAATTATGTGTAATTTGTGGAAAATTTAGGGCTCCTCCGGCAAATTTTTTTGTTAAAAACGCTCAATTAAGGTGCCCTCTAGCCATTTTTATCGATTTTATAATCGTACCTGAAGAGCTTAATAACGTCACGTAACTTTCAATTTTGTCAATAATTTATGTAAAAGCATTTTGGTGTAGGTCTAGGGCTTTCTCGGTTTTGTCCATACTTGTTACCAAAAGAGTCCTCTCACGGTCGCCAATTATTAGAAGTAATGTTTCTATTTTTATTTCTGTCTCTTGGAGCCGATGGATGTAAGTACAAAATCAATTACACTTGACCACTTCAGCACATTTTAAATACAAACTTTTTCTATAATCTATATGACAGAATTAATGACAACTTTTTTAATATTTTAAATCTCTATAATCTATATCCATTCAAAAGCAGCAGACAAGGAACAACATTTTCAACAACACAATTGACAACATAATCATTAATCAATCCTTTGACGTTAATTGTTTTCGATCGAGCAAGTGGTACTGTAGATAGAAAGGACGAATCTTC